GGCAAATTCTGTTAAACATATAGAAAAAGCAGAACAGTCGTATATCCATATTGCAAATAATATAGAACAAATAATAATTAGAACAGGCGATGATAGCGATAGTGATGCTGATATATTATATGAATAATTTTAAGTAATTTAAGTAGGTAATAAAAATAATTTGTAATTTTATTTTAGATTTAAACATAAATACATACACAAATAAATAAATATTGTTTAGTATCTTTCCTAACAAAACCCCTAATAATTAAATTCTAAGCAAAGTAATATTTAATAAGTAATAATAATATTTCATTCTTACAGCTTGACCGGGTCTTTCCTTATTTCGTATCAGTTAGTCACTTTCTTATATTTATGAACAGACTTTAACATTTTCATACATCGCTTTTCTTCTTCAGCCAAGTTTATGTTCAACTACAGAGCGATCCACAAACTATCAAAATGGAATACAGATATCTAACACATCAATAATAGAACAATTGACAGCAGCAAAAATTTATGCGTGTATATAGAATTTTTCTAAATTTTAAAATAAACTAAAAAAATAAAATCTAAAACCGGAAATTTCAGTTTTTTCGGTAATAGAAAAAGGTTGACGTGACATCAATATAATTTTTAATGTCATACAAATAACAAAACCTAAAAATAACTCGCAGCCAGTCACATAAAAGTCATATATTGCATTTGCGTGCCTGCATTTTGTTCAATATTCCATTTGGTTCTTCCGTTTTCTATACATCGTGTTCCATTAATTAAAATGATTAAACATTCAATAGTTCCTTCTTTCAAAGCTCCTCGAGGCTGTATAAAAAGTATATATGTCATCGGTACTGCATTTCCTTCAGGATATCGTGTATCGGCTGGAAATATTTTGTGTTTTTCATTTTCGTTTCACCGTGAGAAATTCGACCACCCGGGGCTGTATTCATATAAAATTTCGTAACGAGAGCCTGAACGCCTGCCAAAGACAATTTCAACTGATATTCATATTTCAAACCGTCCTCTTATTATTCCCGCATTCATAAGGAAGGTGAAGTGAGTAGGCCGGGTAATTATTTTTCTTTCGCGACCTATTGTGTTTTAATGATCCAGAGCATTTGGAAAAATTGCAATTAAAACCTTAAAAAAATGGAATTTAAAATTTTCGTCGTAAAATGCGCAGCAATAATAAACTACGGCCCTTAAGCAATGAGAGAATATTATTTTTAAGTTGGTTGGAAAGAAGAGGTGGAATTTATTAACCCAGGGACGCAACCTAAGTGTAGAAGAAAGTAACAACTTGGCATAGCACATAAATTGTAGCAAATAAAAGGAGTTAAAAGGAGAAGAAAATGAAAAATATTCTACACGTACATTGGAACGGTCGACACCCATAACTCAACTAGCACCACCAGAAATTATACTCCAGATTGGACCAAGAATCGATGCAACCATTTGCATAGTATTTTGACAACAAACATGTACTATGTTATTATTAATCATTGGTAAATAGTGCAGTGCGGGTTAGTAAGACTCCATTATATATGGGAAAGAACAAAATTTGACCCTTTTTATCAAATTCAATCCGTTTTTGATCGATTTGGGTATATATATATATATATATATATATATATATATATATATATATATATATATATATATATATATATATATATATATATATATATATGTATATATATTCCTTATATTTTAATTAATTTTTTTATTAATTTAATTTTAATTAATTCACTCTTAGCATTTAACTAGAAAATGTGGGTCAAGTGGCACTATGTTATTAAGGTATTAAAAAGGCCTTTACAATTCTGTTAAAATTTTAAAAATATATCTAATAATTTCGATATTTTATTCAAATTAATTAATTATAACGTTATTTTTAAGTTAGCTTGAAGCTACTAGAATAGTTTTAAATAAAAAAAAATGGGTTTATTTTTCTCTTGTAATTTTTGTCTTTATCTTTGCCACTTTCATGTTTGATATAGTGGTAGATATAGTTTGATGTAGTAGTGAATCGATTTTACCAGTAGGTACCCAAAAGTTTATATAATAGTTTATAGAATTGGATTTGTCTCCATTCGTTATCAAAATAATAGTTTACTACTGCTCATCCGGACCTAAACGCTAGACACTCCTATATTCAAAAGTTTGAAGTCAGTCGTGTAACAAAAACACCAACGTGGGGTTCAGTAAGAGACGAGGCTTCATAAATGGCCGCCTTAGATCATGTTGAAGTAGAAAGAAACCAAAAAGTTCTTCATGTGGCTTCAAAATAATAGTTGTGAATAGTTTACTACTGCTCATCCGGACCTAAACGTTAGACACTCCTACATTCAAAAGTTTGAAGCCAGTCGTGTAACAAAAACACCAACGTGGGGTTCAGTAAGAGACGAGGCTTCATAAATAAAACGTTCTTCATGTGAGAAACAATTATTTTATATTTGCTACATTTTAACTTTTAAATCAATATCAGCAAGCGAAGTAAAAAAGTATAACAAAGACATTTAAAAACAGTTGCCCCTTTTTTTAATACTTTTTACTGTATTTATGGGGGTGGCGGAGTACCTTTCCACATATCCCTGCAGGCTTTATTGTCGGTTCTGCTGGGATGGGATAGGATCTTCTGTCAAATTAAATATATAAAATAACAAATTAAATCTCCCAACTTTTGAATGTCAATTTTTTTTGTGTAACCCATAGGTAGATAAATAGATGGCCGGTATGTAGGTGTGAGTCAAGACGTAACCAGACACCCACATCTATAATTATTATTATCCACATATATTTTACTTAATTAAATCAAAATTCCTTTTAATTTTTTACATCCCATAAGCAATACACGTTTATTGTATTTATGGTCATAATTGTTGAAAGGATAACAATTTGCAAACTACCTAAATTGATCTACTGGCATTTGATAAAAAAGGGCAAATTTCAATGGCAAACCATTGAAATCACATAAATATAACGAGGTTTTATTAGTCCGAACCATTTAGAAATGATATATAACGTTCGGTAACTCCGCAAACAACAAAGCCCCTTCGATGAGTGTTTTTAAATCGCATTTTGTGCCACATCCACCTGACATAGTTCTTACAATTTATTAGTTTTGATATGTGACCTATAACTAATATACGAATCAAAGCGAACGAAATACCATATTACTAAGGATGCCTACACAAAATTCATTTTTTTGCATTATTTCGTCGAACTTTTAATTGTCGAATTTGTTAGGGGGCAGATTCAATCGTCGCAAAATCAAGTTCAAAAGTCAATGTCGCACATTATCAGATGTCGCCGTCATATTGTCAGTCGTAGACAGGTAAATAAGTAATTTCTCCACCGACACACAACAGTTAGAGCTCTGTCCGAAACAGTAGCGCAATCAGTAATCTGCGTGGAAATAATTAATAATTAATGGCGGTGCTGACTAATTGGAAGCTGGTTAATAAATACTAATTTTATCCTATTCATGTCCGAATTGTTTCTCATTTAGACGCCTCTGTAGATTCTCTTTGTGTAGATGCAATATATATGTAATAAAAATTTTATAAAACAAAACCCTTTTTGAGAAATTCTGGGAAATTAGGAAACTTGTAATTTCTGTTTTCATCCAAAATTTATTCTTCTGTTAATACAGCCGAGCGTTTTTAATATCTGGAATCCCCAATACATATCGAAATTAACTACGAAAAAGTACGAAGCCGAAACTCACCTTGTAGGATTAGAATCAAATCATGTTTTTTAATCTAAAATCGTAGAGATCTTAAAAAAATGCAAAAAACTCAACATTTAGCATTTAGTTTTTTTGAATATATATTTTTTTTGGTTTTGCTTAGTTTCAGTCATATTAGAATCACAGCTCAAAAACGGAAAATAAAAAAAAGGATCCGCTTATAAATTTTACTTTAAAACAATCGTTATTTTCATCAATAACAACAGATTTTTAAAATAGAAAGTTCAATACAACAAATAAAAGGCAGAAAAATATGTTTCTATCGCTCATTGTCAGCTCATTGAAAAACTCTCAACCAAATTCTTAAACCAAGAGGTTGAACATTATCTTTCCTTCAAAACACTGAACTACTTTTTAAAATTTTTGTATGAGAACTACCTAGATCATAAATTAACAGATGTGGGAACAGACATCTAAAATTTATAGACTTAATCATTACCACTAGAATAAAATTAATATTACATCATATTCAAGAAAAAGTTTTAGACTGTGAACTTCTCACTTATCTTAGACATATCACTTTCGCATTTGCAATTTCACGATTTACTTCGATCGCTATCTTTGTCAGTGACGAAGTTCTAAAATTTTGTGATTAATGGGAAGCTAAATAATTTTTCGAACCGAACCTAAGCCTAATTTAAAATGTACGAAAACTACAGTTTTGGTTATTTTTAGATTCATAGAAAATTTATCTATGTCCCATTGGTTTTGAAATTTAATTGGGTTACGCCGTATTGTTCTAAAAGAACGATTTTTGATTTTTCAATTATTTTCCAAAAAAAGTACGATTCCTATGTTGATTTCTTTTGAAAATTTCGGTGTTCGGCATGTACTACACGAATATAAACAAAACTTTACGTACTTGTCTAAAACGGAATATCCTATCTTTAGAACATTTTTTTTAAATTCCTTTGTATGTATTAATTTGTTATCAAAATTTTGAAAATTCGATAATGAATAAATATATTTAATTGAAAACTTCACAGGACATTTGAAAGTTGAGAAAAATATTTCTACCGCCTTGTATAAAGAGGACAGAGACTTTGTTATGTATAATATCACATTTCATGCTCTATTTAACACCATTTAGTTATTATATTTAAAAGATTATTATTATAAATTTATTATCACATGGTATCATACTATATCTCAGCTTCTGATTATTTTATAAATTCGTTTTAAGATAGAATGCGCTGTTAAACTAATTTTAAAAATAGTTACGTGCAATGAAACACATCTGGGCGAATTACAGTGAAAGATATCCACTCACCCTTTCAAGTTCGGAGTAGATTGCTGCCACTCTTGTACGCACAAATTGCAGCAGCAGCTCCGGAGAAATCGCAGGACAACTCCGGCAGCACTCGGTGCGAAGTTGGAACGCAATTAAAAAGAATTCTACCGATCTAAACGTTATAACGCAGGTGACGGTGACGTTAAAGTTGTGGGATTTTAAACCATGAGTTATCGGCCAATGGGGATAGGAGTTGTGACGACGGGAACATTTAGTAGCCAATGATATGGATAACCGAAGTACATACGTCTGGGTTTCGAGTATATTTGTATATTCGGTATGAATTGTAATTAACCTCAAACTTCTGAAGTCTGCTATAAAAATTGCTACCGTTCATCATCATCGAATATCACAAATTATATAGCATACTTTATAAATCGTTTAATGTTTTTAGCTGCAATTATAATCATTCATGATTTAAGAATGGATATATTCAATAAATTCGAATGTGTAGGATATACGGAACTTGTGCATTAACACAGTTTTCAAATTAGGAGTTGTATATTGTTATATTTAATTAGAAGATGTAGGAATTAGTCCTTGTAAACTTGTAATTAAAGAGTACCTAGAATTTTTTGGAGCACAATCAGAATATTACTGGCAAAATCCTGAAAAGCAGAATTATGGTTGCTTTAAATGTCATGTTTGGAATTTATTTACACCCAATATTGTTGAATATTCACAAGCTTTTGATGTATATCCTACTAGTTTTACAATTACTAAACCAGCATGATACTATGTCAAAAGAAGGTTATATTAATTTGAGACAACTTAAACAAGCCAATCATGAGTTTTAGTTGATAAAAAATAATATCATACTGCATTAGATGACAAATTTTAATCGGTATCTAAAATTAGGGGGTATATGTACATTGCAATATGTGACACAATGTGCAAGTAGGTACTTATATAGATAAGTTAATGTGTTAATCGTTGTATTCATAAATAATCCTATGCCAATTGCCTTATAGTGTTAACATGATTTACTCTGTTATCAAAAATTCTGAATAAGTGATGTTTCATGTAGTTGAGAGGCGAATAATATGAATAATCTTCAGTGTCATCTGCAACTTGCAGCTTTAGCATGTACTGTTTGTTTAAGGTTCGTCGCTGCGTGAAATTTTATCCCTGTAGACCATGGGTGGGCAAAAGCCGGCCCGCGGGTCGGATCCGGCCCTTTTGCTAATTTTATCCGGCCCGTTGAAAAATTCCGCACGCAAATTTTTTTAAACTCTTTTATGAGATTTTGTTGACATCAACATTATTAGTGTGCATACTGTATATATAATAGGCGTAATAAAATGGGCGGTCGGCTGACTACACTAGTGTGGACGATGTCGCGAGCTTGAAACAATCCTCGCGCGATTCTCATGCGAGTCGCTCGCGACGATCGCTCTCAGGGCGGTTTTTTCGTCGAACACAAAGGAGATCGCGCTAGGTTCGAAATGCATGTGTGGACGGCATATGCTGCACTCCTCTCACTTTTCGAGGGACGACAGGTCACACCACGCGTATTGTTAATTTTGATTTAGCACTGATCGCATACTCTTTTTTGTTCGAGTCTAATATTAGTTTGCAAATATAAAATTGAAAACGTGGACTTTTTGTAAGTAAAATTTTAAAACATTAGTTTTATTTTATTGTATTAATTAAATTATTTATTTGTAGACCTTTGTAAAATGAGTCAATCTAAAAAAAGAAAAGTTGATTTGGAATGCAGAAACTTCAATGAAGTTTGGACGGTAAAATATGTTTTTACAAACATTAATAAGAAAGCAATTTGTTTAGTTTGTCAGTAAACAATTGCTGTTTTCAAAGAATACAATTTAAACAGGCACTTTACAACAAAACATCCAAAATATGCATCACTTTCTTTAAAAGAACTTCAAACTGTAGCAGAAAACTTAGCAAAAAACTTGAATAAGCAACAAAATATTTTTACTAAACAAAGTAATATAGAGAAATCTACCACAAAAGCAAGTTATGTTGTCGCACACAAAATTGCTAAGTTCTGTAAGCCGTTTTCTGAAGCAGAATTTGTTAAACAATGCATGGTACAAGTGTCGGAGATATGTTGTCCTGAAAAGAAACATATTTTTGAAAATGTAAGCCTTTCGAGAAGAACAATAGTACGACGGTTTGAAAATATTTCAGGAAACTTACTTGACCAGCTAAGAACAAAAATTGCTGATTTTACCTATTGTTCTCTGGCTTTAGATGAGTGCTGCGATATTACTGATACAAGTCAATTATTAATATTTATTAGCGGCATTAACAAGAAATGTGAAATTAGCGAGGAACTTCTTAGTGTGCATCCAATGAAAGACACAACTACTGGTGAAGACTTCTTTCTCGCTGTTGAAGAGTGTTTAGTTAAAGTAAGTTTAACTTGGAATAAAATAGTAAGAGTCACTACGGATGGTTGTCCTAGTTTAACAGGGAAAAATGTAGGCTTACTTAAACAAATTCGCGACAAAGTAAAAGAGTTACAACCAGAACACGATATATTATTTTTGCACTGCATTATTCATCAAGAAGTGCTATGCAGAAAAGTTTTGAAATTGAATCACGTCGTTACTGTTGTGACCAAAGTTGTGAATTTTATCCGAGGACGTGCCGTAAATCATCGACAGTTTGTTGAATTTTTGAAAGAAATTGAAAGTGACTTCTACGAAATTCCTTATTACACTGAAGTGAGATAGCTTAGCATTGGTAAAGTTTTGGACAGATTTCAATATTTGCTTGATGAAATAGTATCCTTCTTGTCGATAAAAGAAAAACTACATGATTTTCCTGAATTGCAAAATAAGGCTTGGCTAAACGATTTCTCGTTTTCCGTAGATATCGTAAAATATTTGAATGAACTAAATATAAATCAACAAGGGAAAAACTAATTCGCTTTCAATATGCACTCAAACGTCAAAGCATTTATGACAAAACTCAATTTATTTGCTGAAAACTATATATATATATATATATATATATATATATATATATATATATATATATATATATATATATATATATATATATATATATATATATATATATATATATATACATATATATATATATATATATATATATATATATATATATATATATATATATATATATATATATATGAAATCATTTCTCCTCATTGCAAGCACGGCGAGAATCATTGAAAAATACAGATTTTTTTAAATATAGTACAATAACACAAGACCTGCATTCTGAATTCCAAAGAAGATTTCAAGATTTCAAAGCTATTGAAAAACCTTTATCATTAATTAGCCAACCTTTCAATTTCGATGTGCAAGAAGCTCCTGTTGAAATTCAACTAGAACTAATTGACTTACGATCAAATAATTTACTAAAAGAAAATTTTCACTCAAACGAATTGAGTGCTTTCTATGGCGCTTTGAATAACGAACATTTCAAACATTTTTTGAACTATGTTAAAAATACCTTGTTTTATTTGGTTCGACATATATTTATGAAAGAACTTTTTCTTTAATGGTTTTCACGAAAAATAAATATCGATCACAAATTACTGACGAAAATCTACACTCGGTATTAAGGATTGCTACAAGTGATTTGGAACCCAATTTTGAAGAAATAATGTCAGATGAACATTCGAGATTTCACGTTTCGCATTAACTTTAAATATTTATTTTAACGTTTGATGTTTTTCTTTTCTTTTTTAAATTCTATTTACTATTATATTTACGAAATGCAATATAAATGTTAAATTGTAATAACTATGTGTCAATATAAAATAATTTGTATCGTTAAGACATAAATAAGTAACAAAATAAAATCTTTCATTGACTGGTTTATCTAATAGCTATTTATTTATAATAATATTTCTTTAAAAATTACGTGACATATTTTATTCAAATTGAAATGAACTTAGTGTTTTTGTCAAAAAAAAAATTGGGCAGGGAAAAAACTCCATCCAAAACATCCGCTTGTGCAAAGCATACGCGGTATAGTACTCCGGCCCGGGAGACATTTTGAAAATTTCATTTTGGCCCGCGCTTTAAAGTATTTGCCCACCCCTGCTGTAGACTATCCACTTCCGAAACGATGTCAAACGAATTTTTTTGTACGTTCCAAAACGTATTTTCCATAATATTGTTTTCTCCTTTTAAAAATTTTATATAATCGACCTGAGCAAAGGAAAAAATCTAACTGGAACTGAACAAAGCCGACCAGAGTTTTTAAAAAAGCTTCCAAAAGAACATTAGACCAGACCTTTGATTTTTATATTTTCATTGTTCTGTAATTAAAAATATGTTTTAATACTAATACCGCAGTTCACTTGTGTCCTGCATTTGACTCGCACGTTTATTGGATGCAATATTTCCGTTCGGGCCATAAATTTATTAGTGTTAATAAAAGATATTTTTATTTTGAATAATTTGATTATATTCGCTCCAGGCGAATTAGCCTTTGACAAATATTTTGAAACCAAAACCCATTCGCTTTGTTAACCTTTTATTTATCATTTATGTTTATTTCTCATATTAGCGGTTGATTTTTAATTTTTTTCACAATGTAAATTAAAACATGTTATAGTCAAAAATGATTACGAAACAAATCTGGACCTATTCCATTAAGTTTGTATTTTATATTTTACTGTTAGACAATTACAAATTATTCAGGAGATCCAATCAAATACACAAACAGTTTATAAATCAAAGTTTTTAATTAAACTAACAGTAATATATTTCAAACTAAATTTTATTATAAATTAAGAAATGAACCAACACAAATAAATATAAATTTTATAAAATAAAATTTAGCTTAACTGGTCTCGCGCATTCTACGATAGTTCAGGCTTCTTATATTTTATCTTATGTTTTCCTTTTATTTTATTTTTCTTCTCAGGGTTGAAGCTACAGTGTGTAAGTATCTAGGGTCAAGGTGGCAACAATGATTAGGGCGTGCACAATGGATCACACGCTATTCCTGCGAAAGGGACAGAGATATCTGCTTTCTCTCTCACTCGTTACTTCTATTCGGCAACGGAACTCGTTCGAACTATTTGGTGTGCGTCGTTGGCCAGGCTGATTTGTGCTGATCATTGTTTTTGGTTCTTGGTTGCAAAAATACGAATTAGAAGGTAAGACTTGAACCTTTCTATCATGTATTTTCATATCTATAACTTAGTGCTGGTATACGTGCCTTAAAATGTACTTAATTAGGCTTATTTTCCTGCAGAAACTTTTGATTAGTATGTTTAATTTACGGCTGGGTACAATTTTTAAATATTAATGGCGTCCTAGTACACAATGGCTCAGTCTTCGTAAGTACACAATGGATCATGATTCATGATTCATGATCAATAGAATGAGAGTTGGTCGTAATTTAATTTTTGAGTTTTAGATGTTTTTTTTTTCACGCAGTGTTTGTTTCCAGAATGCCACGTCCAGACAGGCCGCGAACAAGAGGGAACACTACCGCAGCTATTAAGAATTGAAATGGGTGATAGCCTCCGCAAAGTGTCTGGAACAACTGGAATTCCGTTTACAACATTAAAACGGTATTATTTTAAGTCAAAAGCACAGCGCACATAAATAAATAAATAAATTTCGAGTTCCCAATGTGCCTGACATATCTTTCGTGAAAGAAGATGACGTCAAATTGATATTACCAAAGCCAATTTGTAGTGGCAGTACCTCAAGACAGCAGTCTTTTTATAGTTTCCCATTAGATTTATCTGCCCTCAACGTTAATTAAGTCATTTTTTAATTCTGTTTGTTTGTTTATTACTATGATCTCTAATATCAGAAGTTATGTTTATGTCGATTGTTATTGCGCCTAGATGTAAGAAATCAACAATATTTTCAATTTTAATTTAAGTTTCGTTGTGTTCTTTTTTTCTAGTCCTTAGGTCAGATAGTTTAGTTACTGGTTATGACCTAGAGAATCAAGAAGCTGTCATTTATGTTTTGTTCAAGTTTAGTCGTTACCAAAGTGATATGTGTTTAGTTATTACTAAAAGAGTGAGTTATCATTTACCTTTTCGTACTTGACTTATTAGTACCTAGTCTCAAAATATAGTTGGTAATTATAATCTAGCGAATAAGGGATGTGTCAACCAATTACTTATATACCTGAATTTGTTTTATTTTTATAAATATAAATAAAAAATTATATCCATTTTAGTATGTCCATTCTTTAATACTTATAAAAATAATTATCCATTGTGTACTCCAGTGATCCATTGTTTACTTAGGGGTGAGCCATTGTACCCTAACCTTAGTACACAATGGAACTTAAAAAAAAATGGTCGTCATGATGCGACCAACCTATTATGTCAAAAAGTAATCGTGGGTAATTAAAGTAGTGGAGCCATAGTTTGTTGAAAATAAAATGAACTTTCATAACTTTTTTGCTACAGCGTGTCAAACAAAAGTTGATCCATTGTTGCCACCTTGACCCTACTTTTTTTGTAAAAATATTTTTTTTTACGAACAAGTAGTTGGGCTTTGTTTAAAAACAGACACTCATCTTTGAGGTGTTTTTAAGACGGATGAACTGAATCTCGCCCGTTGTAGAATTTGAAAAATTGTAATAAACATCTTTGTTTATTTTCCGCAAAAAAATCAAAAACGACATTGTTTTAAAATAAACAATTGAATTGTTAATTATTAGGCAATCATTTTATTAAAATATCGATTTGTTAATATCACTATCACACAGACCAAAACATATTTAGAAAAGTACGATCAAAAACGCAGATCTTAAAATGGGTGTTAAAAACTTATTTGTTTCAAATTTTTATTTTATATTATACCGAGTTTCTCAATATCAGCCGGCTTAGTAATGTTACTTTTAAAAATTGAAACTATCTTTAGCATTTCCAAATTTAGATTTAATTTCACAAGCAAAGACAACTCTGCAGCGTATATTATTCATATCAATTATATAGATAAAATAACTTCTCATATATGCCATTCGCTGGTGGAATTCCGTACGAGTCTGTAGCGTTGTCCTGTAACATAAAATATTAAAAAATAATTGCTTACCTCAATATGGTAATATCCTTACACATTCTCTCGAGAAATTACTCCAAAACCAACAGGTAACAATTAAGGCACCAATATTTCTGTACATACTCTAGAGAATTCAAGTGGTAAATTATTTAACCTATTTTCAATTGGAACAATTTTCAATTCAATCCTTTTGCTAAACAAAATCTTAAAATCAAATTTTATTTTGCTAATGGGTGGAGCGATATTTACAGGCTTAACCAAACTTTTTATTTTTTGTTTTTTCTTATTTTGGGATTATCTGAAGTTACTTAAAACAAATCTTATTCCAAAAAAATGGTTTACTACTCAGCATTAAAGTGTTTCCCTATATCTTTCGGTAAAGAGCAAGTAGGCAGTCTGGATAACAATTGGCGGAATCCAAGATTTCAGGGAATGCATAGTCTGCTTCTGTGGGGAAGAACTTAGGTGTTATATTTTATGCTCAACTTCATAAAATATTATCATATTACTAATATTTCTAGGAATAGATTGAGAAACTTGGGATTTGTTACTAGAAATAGTTATCATTAGCCTTAGCATTTGAACCAAATATAAACATTTGCAACGCAATGATGACTGCAGAATTAATTATAGTTCAGTCGCTGAAATGTTTGGGGTGATGTCACTGGAGAAACATAATCGTTTGCGAATTATGCAAAATATGTGCGAGTCTAGTGTATCTCAGGAGATGCTCTCGCCCAAATGCAGAAAACACTATTCTATCCAAACTTATAGAAACCGAAATTTTTAACATCCCTCCACAAAGTTCTGTTAAACATATAGAAAACGCATTACAATCGTATATCCATATTGCAAATAATATAGAACAAATAATAATTAGAACAGGCGATGATAGCGATAGTGATATTGATATATTATGTGAATTGAATAATTTTAAGCAATTAAGTAGGTAACAAAAATAATTTGTAATTTTATTTTAGATTTAAACATAAATACATACATAAATAAATAAATATTGTTTATTATCTTTCCTAACAAAACCCCAAATAATTAAATTCTAAGCAAAGTACGGACCTGTTCGGCCATATTTCATTCTTACAGCTTGGCCGGGTCTTTCCTTAACTCGTGTCAGTTAGTCACTTTCTTATCTATGAACAGATTTTACCCACCCATTTATTGGAAGTCTCAGAGCTGTTAAAAATGTTAAATGATTTAGTTTTTCACTTTTTACAGACCTTTGTCTTCAGTTTAGCACTAGTTGCGCACTAAATTTGTGCATTGTTACTCTTTCTGCCCTATCTGCTAGTTTTTAACATAACTTAGTTTTTCTGTTTTGTTATTTTGCAGCTGTTTATATCAAAAACGTATGCTTACTTGGTCATGCATTGGTTATTAAACTGTGTATTTTTAAGCCAATCTAGTAACATTCTTTCTACAGCACATAGATTTCGGACGCTAACCTGCACTGCGGCCAGAAATGGAATTGATCGATTGACCGTGGTCAATTGACCGCTTTAATAACATCTTGCAATTGTTATGTGTTATCTATCATTTAATGATAATATGTATTTTATATTAAATTATTATACGTTTGTGATGTGCAACTCCTCTTCAAGGAATATCCGAATACGATACTTAGCTATTCAGGGAATCCCAATAATAATATCAACTTCATTTGGTTCCCAGGACGACGCGCCGGCGACGCAACGAACAATATAAATAAATAAATATGAATGTTATGGTATTTTTAAAATTATTTTGGTCAATTGACACAAAAAAACTTTTGTTGCTTTATTTAGTACCGCAGAATGCATTCTGCAGAAAAAGGACTTATTACAAACTGACTTTAAAAAAATATTTTTCTGTGGAAATATATCAGTCAATATCTTTACAGTACCTTAGTTTAACTTACAATACTTTTATTTAAAATAATTGGCGGGTGTTTTAGTTCTAAAAACTCTAAAAATAGCTGTTGAACGACTGTCATTTTTGAATTTTGGTTCACTCCATTTTTTAACATTTGCATTTGTTAGAAAAGTATAATTGACAACCTCTGCTTCTCCAGTTTTTCAATGGAATGGTTATTTTTCCCAATTTTTGGCAAATTGCGACAGATAACCGCAGGTTTAATATCTTTTTAAAAATCACTTGCCATATGCAAATTATTTCGATATGTTGTTTTTCAGCTCCAGTAAACCGCAAAATGTTTGAAATCATAGGCGCCGAAAGCGCAAAGAATTCTCCGATAACAACTTTTGCTGCGAAACGGTTCGTAAATTTGGTGCGTCGCTGATCTTTTGTATTTTATTCTAGTCAATTAATTGGCGTTATCTAACGCGTTTGGCTTTCTCTTAGCGAATTCCCCCGAAAATCTAAATCAATCAAAACGCGGGCACGATATCGTAACACTTTTCAGTTAAAACTTCGAAATAACTTTAATCCCTGGAGCGTAAAGCTATAAAATATTATGCAAATTATTTTCACCTGCCAGTTTTTAAAATGCGCGAACTGTTGATTTGTTTGTGTGTTTTACTCATAAGTGGAATTGGTGGTGAGTCAAATGCAATGACTTAGATCTAACCTGCAATGGGCGCGGACCGGTAGAAAAGTGAGGCAAAGTTTACAGTAGAGAAAGGCGGATAGTAATAAGGATTCCTGTCTTTGTTTTGCTCATTTATGTAAATGGGGGATTAAGTGTTTTTTAATTTCTTTAATTTGCCAATATAATTATTATTGAAATAATTTACATATTACTGTTTGATTTTATTTAAATATTTGTATAAAATAAAATCTATAATCTAACTTTAAAAAATCTCCGAAAAGGCACGTACAAATTAATGTAGGAAATTCATCATATTTAAGTTTTCTCTAACGTTTGAAAAAAATTATTTGCCAGATGAGCAATAAATTTTAAATTTTCTTGGCAACTAAATCAACCGCCAAAGCATACATGTCAATTCATTGTGATTTTTTTAGTGCTGTTACCAAAATTGTTATTTTAAAATATTATTTTTTTATTGCTCCGGTACCTTTTCATCTTTTACATATTTATAGAAAAAACAGAAAAAAGACATTGAACTTTTTATATAAATCAGTCAAAATCCAACAGACTTAGAGGGCCTAAAATATGAAAAATTAAACATTCCTTCAGATTTTCACCTTGTTCCAACCAATACTATTATCTATATATTACGGTGAAAAACAGCAACGTATCCATAAGTTTCAAATTCATATTTGTAGTGTCAAAAATCCTAAAACTGCCAATTTTAATAATTAGACTTAAACATTTTTTTAATTAATGGGAAAATTCAGAATAACATTTGAACGACCTGTTTCTCCGAAACTAGCGACATTTATATGAAGCACGTTAAGCTCAATTATAATATTTTGGTGTCCAATATTTCCAGTTTGGCAATTAACCATTCTTTATGAATCTGACTGTGTAAATATATTTATATATTTCATTTGTATAACTCGATAAGTTATTATTTATTTACAAAACAAATCAATATGAAACACGCATCAGTGCTTTACTTCCCAAAAAAAATAAAAAATACAATACAAGAACTTGTCATTACTAAAAGTTTTATAATTTATAACGTCATGGAATTATTAGTAGATATTCTACTAGACAAGATTATTACCGTCAGAAATAGTCAAAATATATCGCACCATATTAACAAACCATTTAATTTATATTAATTATAGTATGTACAGGGGACATGACGCAGCTTTCTTCCCAAGGAAAGTGCTGTTCAAGCCAACTAAACTTATAATAAACAAATAATACATATTACAACTTTTCATATTCGTCTTAAATAAGATAATTGAAGTTTACCTTATGTAGAGAACGGCATAGACGAACGACAGGGTACGAAGAAAAAGAAAGGAAAGAAGAAAGAAAGAAGATATTTCTTTATGTAAACAAAATGCTTCGTTAATTCGTAAACGACCGTTAAAATCCCGTGCTAATAACTAGCGTGCCAAAAATTTGCATTTCATGTGTCTTTTGAATGGGCCAATAGATTGGGTAAAATCATGTATTTGCTATTTATTAATTATGAACGCAATCTGATAGGAGAAGCACTTTTTGGAAAATTCTTTTTTTATGAACAGGTATAGTAAACAAATTGTTGTCTACGAATATTTATGTTGTGAATATCCGTACGATATGTTAATTTTTCATTAAAATAGGGAGGACACTTTGACTTAATTATTTTTTAATACTGACGTACCGAATGCAAAGCATGTCGCTGAGCCATGGAAAGCCATCCCAACTCTTCAAACTTATAAGAAACTCTCCGCCCTATACAAGAATTTTAGACTTTTTGTAACCTTTTAATATCAACAGAATCCAGAAATGATCCATATATGGTATGAGCAAAATTTAACACTGAAAATGCTCTTTTTATACATAAAGTTCTATATTCTTTTAATTTTAAATTCACATCAATAACAAGATTGTTACATGAGATTGTACTATTCCCCAATCTGAGTTTTATACGTTTCGTTAATTCTTCTCGAATAATATCATTACATTAATTCCAAAAAATCCAAAGAAATGAAAACATTGAGAAATAATGTAAAACAATCTTTTAATTTTTCAAAGAAACTTCCACAGGCTACTGTAATACTTCTTACAAAACTTCTGGATTCCTCCTGAGTCGATTTTTGCTGAATCGAAATTGCTGACGTTTCGCCAATCATCCTGTTAGCTTCTTCAGAGCTTGACTGAAACTGGTTCGTATTTTACTCTGTACCTGCTTATATATGGTTTGAGGGGGCGGAGCTAAATGAGGGGCATAAACACCTTCTCGGATGACTGATTCCCAAACTGGTGACAGGTAGAGACCTGAGTCGTGGTTAAGTTTGTTAGGTTGTTTATAGATTTCTATAGACTCTCGGATTTTTCGCTAGTAGAAGAACTGATTACATGCAAGAATTTTAGTTTTATCGAATAAAATGTTGTGTCCGGTCTCATGAGTGTGTTCGGCAACAGCTGATGAGTTTATTTGCCCCTCATTAGCGCCCCCCTCAAACAATATATAAGCAGGTACAGAGTAAAATACGAGCCAGTTTCAGTCAAGCAATTTCGATTCAGCAAAAATCGACGCAGGAAGAATCCAGAAGTTTTGTAAATAGTAAAACAGTCTTTTACTAATCCGCCATATTTAAATTTACCTTGCAAAATCACACTGCTGTCATTCCAGTTCCAGTTTCAGTTCTTTGTTTAAATGTCCTAGCCCCTTCCGGATGTCCATTTTTACCGTTGCGGCTTTTTCTTTCAGCCAAGCAGGGGAAGAATGAGAAAATCCTAAACGGAAAAGTGGTCGACATAAAGGACCATCCGTACCAGGTGGCTCTAGTGAACAAAAAATTCAACAGAATCATATGCGGCGGTGTCATAATAAAACCCAGGGTGGTAGTCACTGCGGCTCATTGCACCCACACGATCCGAATGGAACCAAGAAAGAATTTGGAAGTCCTGGTTGGTGCTAACCACGTCGGCGACGACGATGGCAACTTCCACACCATAGAGAAAGTCATTAAACATCCCGACTTTTCTTATAGAGTGAGTTTCCCGGTATATCTTCTTTTTAATAAAAATCGCCATATTCAGTTGTTCGTAAAACAAAATTTGGTATGAAAGGTTAAAAAAAAATAAAAACATATTTTTGAAAATTCTGTTCTATAATACTAAATACGGGCCCACCCCATATTACTTATTTAATTAGTTTACGATAAAAATTAAAATGAAACATGTGCCCACATATACAGACTTTATAATCACCTGGGGTTCATTTTAAACTATCAAGATCTGTTAAATTAATTTAATAAAGTGATAGAATAAACCTTGCAACTTTTGCAATTATTATTTTTAAATATAAATAATAAAGCCTGTGGTTGAATGTCAAAATATGGCGAAACAACCTGTACGTTTATCTTGGGACACTACGTTATATCAGAAACTATAGGGGATGGAGCCAAAAGTTATATACAAAAGTTAATTGGGATATTACAAACCTTTAATTTTATATATACAGGGTGTTTAATTTTTCGTAGGCGAATATTATATTATTTTAAATGGAACACCTTGGATATTACTTCGTTTTTGAATTCTATACAAAGTTCTAGACATATTTTGTGTATGTCTTATACCTAAGTTTAACCGTTTTTGACATTTTTAATTTTTTATGCGAAAAATGACGTTTGCAAGACATAAAATATCTGCCAATTTCTTCATTCCGAAGTATTTATTGTTTCAGTTGAGTAAGTTTTGGTTAGTTTAGTTAATTATCGTAGCCTTGGTCCTATTCTGTACAAATAATACATACACACATTTACATAATCTTTCATCATTAGCGCATCGGCAAGATTATGGTCTACTATGAAATCATAGTGACAGCACTTTAGCACTTGTTTTATTCAAACGCCGTCACAGCCACCTTACACTAACTGAACTTTATGACACCAGCATATTATTTGTGATAGACAAATGTTTAAAAGGAAATATTTCAAAAAGTAAAAATATTAGGCATATTCAACCTTATATTAAATTGTCTTAATTCTTAAATCTAAATATGACAAGATTATAAAAATAGGTAGTTTCTATTTAAAAAATAGATTGTTGGCAGTTTTTCGTTTTTAATCTTATTTTTCGCGTACCCTGTATTAATCGAAATCTCTTATGAAATCCGTTATGCGGGTCTTTTGTCTACAACTCACTCAATTGGCATGGCAATGGAAGAAATTGGCAGATATTTTATGTCTTGCAAACGTCATTTTTCCCATAAAAAATTCAAAATGTCAAGATACACAAAATATGTCTAGAATTTTGTATAGAATTCAAAAATAAAGTCATATTCCATATGAATACGAAAAATGAAACACCCTATATATGCAACATTCAAATAAATTGAAGATTTCTAATACCCCAATTAACTTTTGTATGTAAGTTTTGGCTTCATCTCCTATGGTTTCTAAGATAAGGTTGTGTCCCAAGATAAACGGCCTACCCTATACAAAAATTAAGGTTATTATCAAATTATTTAAACCACAAATCCGAGATTAATTATATTCAAATTCTTTCTCGTCGGACGTACTGTCTTTTCTTCTTGATATTATTATTAACGATGGATCCAACTCGTTACCCACATTTTCCTTTTCCTTTGATAATACTACGGATAGCTGTTAGCCAGTTCTCAGGATTTACTTCCATAACGGCTTTCATTTTAAATGTTGTATTTTATCTAGCTATAATCTATTGAAATTATAGTAGTAAGTGCAAGATAGTAATATTTTGTTGTACTCCTTATCTTCCACGGCATACTTCAATACAAAAAGTTTGTTTCAATTTACGAGAGCAACATGTCTTCTTAAAAATCCAGTATCTTGATGGTACGCCCTTGTTTTCTCTCAACTGGGTCAGTGGGAAGATATTTTGCTATTTCTCCAATCTTGAAATCTCGAAAACACTGCAATCATTTCCTCGTAATAATCTCCCGTTCAGGAAGTCACAAATATGAAACTCTTTTTTCATTTTGAAATATTTATTTTTTGTTTTATTTATTTAATTTTCAACTGTTAGTCTTCTTCTCGTTTCCGGACGGAGATCCCAATGCGCTAGCATAAAGCTAGAGCAAGATAATGCTCTTTATTTTACTCTTTATATGCTTTAACCAATATCATCGCTGTTAAGTAAAAGAATTTTCGTATCAATATTCTCCATAGCAGTTTCTATCTAGAGTTAATATTTCTTTCTTAAAATAAAAAAAGTTGTGTGTAGCATATTTTGTGTCATCATCAAGGATTATTGCTAGACATGTTTTGAAAGGTTGCTTTTATTTCCTGCAATTTAAAATTTTAGGGGCTAGACAGCGATATGTCGGTGCTCCTCCTCAAAGAGCCCATCAAATTCAGCGAAAAGGCACAAAATATTGAAATTTCTACGGACGATCATTCGGGTGGCACCGTGGCGACAGCGTCTGGTTGGGGTAGAACGGAAACAGGTCGACCCTCTAGAAAATTGAGAGCGGTCGATTTAATACTGGAATACCCAAGCAAATGTCAAAGTCATTTTCCGGGAATTTATCACCCGACCATTACCCACAATATGGTGTGCGTAAAGCCTCACCACAAGTCAACGTATTATGTAAGTTCGAGAATTTGATACTTATTCGAAGTGTTTGGAAATTGGAAGGAAATAATTAATTGGGCGGTAATGGAGAGACGACAAATCTAGTCCATTAATTTGTGCAATTTTTTATTTTTAATAATATGTTTTAGGCAATCACAAACATGATTTTCTGAGATTGATTAATAAACAAATCCAAATTAGTAAGGCTTAGTATTTCAGGCAAACCAAACGAATTTCCCTAATAGTATAGAAATACTTGTACTTTATTCGTTTTTTTTAGCTTTTTAGCTAAAATGGTTGGTGAATATCCACCAACTTTCGACAATAACCGCACTGTACATAATGCAATAAAAACAATTTTTGACCAATCCTGTATAACCAAAATTATGTTTAGATTCCACATGTTTGTTACCCTTGGAATCCAAAAGTTTTTTTTCTTCTTCTTACCTTACCTTTTACCTTGTTGATGCACCCTGTATATTCTTAAAGCAGTCTTTCAATTTGCGCTGGCGGTGGCTACTTCGATCTGGAGATATTTTGTTTAATTTATTTTTTTGTTTAGGGTGATTCCGGTGGACCACTAGTAGTCGATGGAAAACTGGTGGGATTGGTTTCATTTGGAAGGCCGGTCAAACCTAACAAAAAGACTACCGTGTTCACTAAAGTCGGAAATTTCGTCGATTTTGTTGACGAAGTCGTACCACAGGAGTATAAAGAAGACTAAATAAATAACTTATTTTTAAAACCGCCTCCCCGTCATTCCAATGCCCCTAAATACAAAATAAGGCACCACATTTTCAACACTAGGAATTAACGTACTACATGCTATATCGATATTATTCGGACTGTAATTACAATCGAGTTTTATATAAATGCAAATGATGGCTTTGCGAATCCATCGGAATAAATAAATTAATGTATTTATTACCAAAGGGTTTTGCCACCGTTTTAGAACCACACGTAACACTCAATTATAATCGAGTTTATAAAGAAAATCAGCATTCTATATTTTTAATTGTTTATAATCGAGTTGGTAGTAAACAAAATATTTACAATATTTGCATCTGATAATATAGTGATGATCATGTAAAAGAAATCGGCAAATACATGATTTTAAGTTTCTTCGCTTCGCTAATTGGTGAGTTCTATTAATGCGGTTTTGAGTTATAGATAAGATGCCACAATTAGCCGGACAAAATCAGTGTAGATTTTTAAAAAGTAATTCTATCCCAATACAACTTTAACAAGTCTGTACTATATTTCTGTAGGGTTATAGTTTACTGATTTCCTTAAACGCCACAAAACAAAAATAATTCCTTTGTGATTCTAAATTAAGAATTAGTGCAATTTATAAATACTATTAATAATTTCGCAATGATGTTTTTTATTTTATTATTCTAATGTTACATTATCATCCCTATACTTCTTTATTTTTGAGAAAATGTTAATCCGACTAGATTTTTCACTATTTTTCAAACATTTGAAATAATATGAAATAATAAATAAAATGATTTTAAACACCTTTGCCAGTACTGTAAGCGGTAACACAAGATATTAAGAATTAACATTTATGGTTTACAGAGTGTCCAAAACCTACCAACCCGTTACATTATATTTAGAACTGCAACTGTTTCAAATAGGATACCCTTTATATTGTTTTATGGTGTGATGTTTACATCGATAAGCTATGTCTTGCCGTATAAATATGTTAACGGTTACCTTGTTATTTCATATTTTCTATAATAAGTCTATCAAACCCCAGGTTAGTATTGATTTTGACATGTTTTTTGTTTTATTTACGCCAAAGGAAATAACAAAATTTGGAACAGGCCACCCAGATCACCCGATTTGCAGGCTTAAGAGTTTTTTTTTAATTTTTAAATTCTGAAATCAACTGGAGGAAATAAAGCAAGATTTCCTAAGTCAGGAAAATAAATATTAAAATATATGAACAGGTGTATGACGTGGAAGCTTAAGATCTCTAAATTTTACATTTACATCATGAACTTTATTAGAAATATACTTTTGCAACAGTAAGTATTAACGTAGAAAGCCATTTTTTGAATTATAATTATTGCTCTTAAAGTGTTAGAAAAACAAAACAATATTTATAACTATGTTCTAAGGTTAAAATCAAGAACTTTTTATTCTTCGATTTTTTTCGATCAATTAATCTGATTTTTGACGATTTCATATTAGTCTAGTTAACTTGCCCGCCATATCAATGGTCACATGACATATGTCAAAAACAATTTTCAGGTTATCGGACATGCGCACCGGATTAGTCGAACAATATTTTTTCAATCTTCATCAATAAACATTTTTCCCAAATGTTGCCAACTCCTTGCCTGCCACTGTACAATATACGAGGGTCACTTGAAAAGTTTCCAACTTAACAATGATACATTTTTCTCATTTTTTAAATATTTTTCTACATAGTCCCGTTGTAACTCTATACACTTTTCCCAGCAATGCTCCTCAGAGCCCGGTTTTCAGATGATGGAACCAAAAGGTGAGTAAGGCGGATGGTACAAGCAGTTCAAACCGTAATTCTTGAATTTTTGCCATGGCAATCGCTGAGGTATGAGACCGCGCGTTGTCTTGGTGAAACAGTTTTGTTTTTGCAAATATGACCTTTTTTCTGTAATGAGTAATGATGCGTAGCATGCTCCTGTAATGGTTTTTCCTTTTTGAAGGTAATAGATTAAGATGACTGCTAAAAAAAACCGCAATCACTTTCCCAGTCTAAAAAACAGGTTTTCGTTTTTCCGGAGTTTGTTCCCACTTCGTGGTCTACTGTTTTTACTGTATTTTTGATTAGGGCGTATAATCGAAATTAGATCTACATCTACATGTTTAAATTCAGCTGCCCAAATTTTCATTTGCGTAGGCGCATTGCCTTTCAAAAACAAATATTTTATATCAGCTCTATATTCAATTTTTTCCACTTTCACGAAAACACTCACGTTGACTAATTCAAACGACTCTCCACTAAAACCACGGTTCCAAAATAGTAAGTAACTATCAAAAGGTGTACAACTACTATCACTAGCTTTTAGTAACTAGTGTCGCCATCTTCAGGGTGAGGTCGGAAACTTCTGAAGTAACCCTCGTATGGACGGTTTTTGACAGCACTTTTGAAGTTCACCTGGAGCGGCAAAAACCTTTGTGCCGGCGCTGTACCGGCAATAAACAACAACCTCTTTCGTTACCAAACGGGTACCGGCATCTCCTTGACCTTCACCGATTTTTTCTTATAATTCTTTAAACGATTAAAGTTTATCTTAAAATCCAGAATAATTCTGTTTACTGCCTGGAATTAGATACGTTGCATCAATTGTTGAAACGAATTTGTGGTAATTTATATTCCATGCACGGTAATTATTATTATTTATCATTGACTTGACAAGAATAAACAAATTAATGCTCACATGGTGCCCTCCGGCGAGGTCGCGGGATTAGTAGCGAGCCGACCAAAGAGATTCACTTCCACACGAGTGCATTTAACTGGAGGGAGAAGCCGTGGATTTACTTAAAAGCGGCAAATGTTTTTGCAGTCATTTTAAGTAAATAAATCGTACCACTGCAATTAAGTCGACAAACATGGGTTCTCTGTTACCAACACTTGCGATCATTATTGGCCTCTTGAACATCGTAAGTTGTAAGTAATTTTTTTTTATTTCCTGCACTCTTACTAAAACTAAATTATTTTTAGGCGATACCAACTGCGACACGCTAGGAATTCTGCTTTACGAGGACCTGGGTTGTAAGCCGGTTAAAACGGAGGGACAAGATTGTCCGGAAAAATTCGAATGCGACTTGGTGAAAGCGAATCAAACCGCTTGCATGTTTAAGGGTCGAACCCTGAATGATGGCGATGAAGTGGACACGGACCTCACTTATTCTTCCTGCAACGTCGGATGTCACTGCAGATCGTAAGTTTGGGAACATATATTAAAAAAAAACAAATACGTTAACTAAAGTCGGTAGAATAATTTTTGGCAATTAATGGCAAAACTCTACAAGGCTCAATAAATCTAACAATATCTACAAAAATCCTGTACTCAACAGTAAAACTTGGAAACACGGTTATTTAATATTTAATATTACTAATTTAATTAAAATTAAAAAACATGTAAATCTTCCATATCCTTTCAGTTTGAATCGAGCAAAAGAATTTTGACCGCAACTGCTAAACCGCAAAAGTAAATTTTGAAGTCAAACAGGATGTTTCATTTAAAACAATGTAGTGCACACTACGATCAATTTTTAAGTTACCCAGTATAGATTTTCTTCCCATTAAGTTTTTTCCTGATTTGATTTTAAACAAAATGAATCAAATTTTAAAATATTTAATTTTGACCTTGTTTGTTAGATATACACACTGTTTGTTTATTTTTTGAAATGCCCCCATTAACCTCAATATTATAAATTCAATAATTGACCAATCCTCATCAAAATTATTGTTCGCTTGATTGCATCGGTGCAGCTTCGCATCGTCTTTTGTATTATTATACACAAAACTGCATAAAAAATCCCAAACAAATATTTTAATAACGTTAGGGGCCACAGTAATATTCTAATAAATCACAAATTACCAAGTCTGTCCGGTTCTCAGTACTTGCTTTACAATTATTACAAAGGTATAGCCTGCCACCTAGTAAATTAAAATTAGTGAACATTTTGAGAGTGTTTTTTAAAATAAGTACACGTACTTTTTTAAAACTGAAATAAAGCTTTTTGATTTAAGCTCGTATACTTATCTATTGCTAAACCGCATGTTTATACTTTTAAAGAATTAAATAATATATATATATATATATAATAATAATTATACTAATTATTAATATTACTATTACTAATATTAGTATTACTATTATAAAAACACAGTTTCTGATTATTTTTTTATTTAGGAATGGAAGGGATTGATGATTCTTCTTAACTCAATTTAAGGAAAAAATTATGCAATCACATAAGAAAACATTTCTGTTATTTTGTTTTATTTAAAAACTTTTATCCCCGGCAATTTTCTCGTAATTCTTACAGGTTCCAAAAAAATTATTAGATGCAAAAAATGCAGTGGGCTGCTATGACTTCTTAAGAAGTTTCTTATTTTTGGTTTGTTTGGCATTCCTCAGTTACTGAGTACAAAATAACACTAATTTATTCGAAAAATCGAAAGAGTCTGCTGCATTACACTAACGTAGATACGCATGCAAAAGAATCCTTATACACCATCCTATTTTAAGGGTAGTTTCCTAAAATGGAAAAAAGGAGTTTTGATATCGATCGGCACCGCGATGTTCGAAAACTCGGATTAGTAATTACTGAAATAAGTATTATTGATGGGCAACCAGAGACAAGTACCGGGGAAATTGCAGCAGAATTAAACACTGAGTGTGGATATTACAATAATAGTTATATCCATACCTCGTAGAGAGGGTTTAATCTCTGTTTTTCTAGATTCAATGCTTTACATTTAATTTTTTTAAATGTCAACCGTAAGTTGGTATGAAAATATTGCAGGAGACAAAAAAGTTTCTTATAAACCGTTCTTTTTTCCTTATTAATTTAATTTCAAAAAAGAAATGTGGATTTTGGTGCCAAAGTTTCAAAAACTGGAACATTTTCTAAATTGAGTATTCTTTTTATCAAATTTATCAAATTATTAACAAGGTCAAAGAGATAATCGTGTTATGAAAACAATTTCAGTATAGCCCCTTATAATCGCTGAAATTTTTTTGTTGTTATTTCGGATTGTTACACAATATTAATCTCCTTAAGTTTAAAGAAATATTTGAACAGAAACGAAATACTGAAAAAATAATATATTATTTTATCCGTAAGGGATTTTGACACATTTTTGAAAGAAAAAAATATCTCACTGACTCTATAAAAATAAAAATTAATTTTGCAATTGCGATTTTTTTGGTATTAAATTTCCGGAGTGTCTATTTTTAATAAATCACACCAATATTTTTTTTTAAACAAAATCGTTACATGGTACGAAAAATGCAAATTGATTCCAAATTGAATCGGAATTTCGAAAGTATTTTTTATTTATAGAGGAATTAGTGACGTGCCCTTTTTCATTTCCGTAATATTCGCCCCTATATATATATATATATATATATATATATATATATATATATATATATATATATATATATATATATATATATATATATATATATATATATATATATATATATATATATATATATATATATATATATATGATGACACTATACTCCGGGATATCATCCGTTCGCTCGTTGAACTCCGACTGGAATCCTGCAAATCCTGCATCCCCTGCAAATCCTGCATCCGACTGGAATCCTGCAGACGTTTCGCCAAAATCTCACTTGGCATCTTCAATGCTCGCGCTCCGAAAACACTTCGAACACTGGGAGGTTATCGGCGGTGCGTGCGGTATTTATACTCTACGCCGGAGATGGTAACGGTGCTGCTTGTGCGTGGGGGGAGGTGGCTCCGCCCCCTGAATTAGAAATCCTTCAGTCAAATTCCAAAAAAAAATCAGGACAAGTGCCAAATACAAACCGAAGCAATACAGTTCATAACATTTCAGCATACCATCTTTCCGATACAGAAGTCAGCGTACTGAATAAAGGATTTAACTATGCAATAGCTCCAAAAAAAGTACAAGTCGAAGAGATCGTTTCCAACGTCGAAGCAAGTTTTTCCACCATAGACGAACAAGATGCGGAGTTAATTAGGCAAGATGTCGCCAGAGTCTTAAGACAGTCAAAACCACCGCAGCCAAACTTAAGCAGAGAAGAAATGCAAGCCTTAAGGAATCTAACCAAGAACGAAAACATTCTAATAATGCCAGCAGACAAAGGAAATGCCACTGTCGTCATGAATACGTCGGATTATAATGCAAAATTGGAGGATATTTTGAACGACCCAATATACAAACTAGTCACCAGAGATCCCACGACATATTTGGAAAAAACAACTAAGTCCAAAATTCTCGATTCATCAATAAACGAGGATACAAAGAAGAAACTTATTCCGAGGGAAAAATCGAGTCGTTGCCCAAAATTCTACGGGCTCCCAAAGATCCATAAGGACGGGGTTCCCCTGCGTCCAATCGTAAGCGCCTTTAACTCACCATTATGCAAGCTGGAAAAACATCTGGCCAGTGCACTTCAGCCTATAGTGAAAAAGGCAGATTCCTATGTTAAAAACTCAGAACATTTCACTCAGATTTTAGGTTCTCTCAGGATGGACAAGGACGACATTATGGCAAGTTTCGATGTCAAATCCCTCTACCCGAGTATTCCAGTAGAAGAGGCACTCTTGCTTATAGAAGAAAACGAAGATCTTCCGCCATACATAATGGATCTGTCAAGACATTGCCTGAAAAACGCTTACTTTATGCACAACGGGAAAATTTACCGACAAATAGATGGAGCAGCAATGGGATCATCTCTCTCACCTGTGATTGCTAACCTCTTCATGATTTACTTCGAAAAGAAAGCAATAGAGAAGGCAAATCTGAAGCCAAAACTATGGACAAGATACGTTGATGACGTATTTGTTGTATGGCCTTTTGGCAAGGAGGAGCTTTTGAAATTCCTAGATCATCTGAATTCCATCCACCCAAGGATTCAATTTACAATAGAACTTGAAGAGGATAACAGTCTGCCCTTTTTAGATGTGCACATCACAAGGACCGAAGATGGACACTTGGAACACACTGTCTATAGAAAACCAACACACACTAATAGATATCTGAACGCTAAATCTCATCACCACCCATCACAGATACAGGCAGTGGCAAATACATTAATTGCTCGGTCCTTCAGGCTCACAAACGAGAGGAACAGAGATAAAGAACTGAAGAAAATTAGTACCTGTCTTCGACAAAACGGATACCAAAGGCGTACCATCAGCAAGGCAATCAGTAAACAACAACAGCCGCAGCAGAGAGTGCAGGACGAGACCCAACGAAGATCGATCGCTGGGGTTACTGACAAAATCGGCCGAATATTACGGAAACACGACATATCAACGGCATACAAACCTGACCATACCATCGGAGCAATACTAAGAAACCCAAAACAAAAAATTACTCTGGAAAACCAAGGAGTATACAGTGTAGCATGCGGATCGTGCAGCCTGACGTATGTGGGACAGACCAACAGAAGGATTTCAGCCAGGCTCGAGGAACATCGTTTAGCCATAAGAAACAAACAAACAACATCTGCTTTGTTTCAGCACCAACATCAGACAGGCCATAAAATTGATTTCGGCACTTGCAAACAAATAGCTAATATTCCTGATTTTAGGACTAGGATTATACGAGAGGCCATCGAAATAGAAAAGTCCGGACACCTCAATACGAGAGACGACGCTCTGCATTTATCCAACACGTGGAGAACGATAATCAAACAGCAGAGCGATGCGCAGCAGCCAACGGGGACATCGCAACTACGATCGGGCGAAATTAACAACGCGACAATTCAGGGGGCGGAGCCACCTCCCCCCACGCACAAGCAGCACCGTTACCATCTCCGGCGTAGAGTATAAATACCGCACGCACCGCCGATAACCTCCCAGTGTTCGAAGTGTTTTCGGAGCGCGAGCATTGAAGATGCCAAGTGAGATTTTGGCGAAACGTCTGCAGGATTCCAGTCGGATGCAGGATTTGCAGGATTCCAGTCGGATGCAGGATTCCAGTCGGAGTTCAACGAGCGAACGGATGATATCCCGGAGTATAGTGTCATCACATTTTTCCATCCGTGAATCAATACGTGAGAATATATATATATATATATATATATATATATATATATATATATATATATATATATATATATATATATATATATATATATATATATATATATATATATATATATATATATATATATATATATATATATATATATATATATAGTGTCATCACATTTTTCCATCCGTGAAAATATATATATATATATATATATATATATATATATATATATATATATATATATATATATATTCACGTATTGATTCACGGATGGAAAAATGTGATGCCACTATATTCCGGGATATCATCCGTTCGCTTGTTGAATATATATATATATATATATATATATATATATATATATATATATATATATATATATATATATATATATATATATATATATATATATATGCTTGTTGAATATATATAAATATATATATATATACATATATATATATATATATATATATATATATATATATATATATATATATATATATATATATATATATATATATATATATATATATATATATATATACCCTTACGTCACTGGTAAATTTTTTCGCAGCATTAAAGATTTTTTTTCTTTAGTGATAATTAAATTATAACAATAAATAATTTTTTTTCTTATGCGTTAAAGACCATGCAGTCTCTTTTATTTTACTTTCTAGGGGAGAATTTACATGTGCCATCCTGGACTGTCCCGAATGGCTCGGACTGAGAGCCGAACCGAACTGTTATCTTAAACATGAACTTGGAAAATGTTGTTCTACCGGGCAAATTTGCTGTAAGCCAATAATAATCCTTTATCTAATTAAAACTGACAGTCGTTTCGCAAGCAGCGCCACCTGCAGACGTACAAAAATGCAAGCTTTCGGACACAGAATCTTACAACGTTGGACAACAATTTTCTCCCAGGGATACCTGCTTGAGCTGCGTTTGTCCTGAAAATTTTAGCGGGAAACTGGACGAGAAGGCGTGTGCCAGGAGAAACTGCGCAGCGCAGTTGCGTCACAGCGCAGACATCGAAGCCAACTGTGCTCCCGCGTACTTTAAATATGGCGGCAATACTCTTTGCTGTCCCGATGCCTGGCTATGTCGTAAGAACCTTAATAGCATCTCGATTTTTGATTGTATGATAAGCGTATCGTATTTTAGCTTCCACATCAGATAAGATCGAAGTGGTGAATTCCGATGCTGCTAAAGGTACAGGTAATTTTAGTGCAAACCACCCTCGTCGTCTTTCATCTATATTCATAACTTATAGGCTTGGAGTGCAATTACGGTAACCAAAAGATAAACTTGGGAGAGGGATTCCATAGAAAAATCAATCAGTACGGACAAGACCGAGATATCCAGTGCGAATGTAGTTTGCCACCACTGCTGACATGCAAAGAAAAATAAAAACCCACAGAAATTTAACCAATAAATTTTGTTTTCATTCACTCATTTCTAGGTGTTCACAATAGGAAAAGATTGAACTTTATTCATTGTAACGTGCAAAGCCTGCGCTTTGTAGAAAAGCAAAGCATTATTAAATGCAAATACCTTCAAACTAGCAACAAAAAATTAAAGGTAAATTCGAAATTATAAAAAGCTGAGCATACAAACATTGAGTTGCTTGTAGTCAAGTTTCCAGTATAGTTCTGTAGTTCTCCTAAAATGTACATAAGTAGACTTGAAAGAAATTTTAGGCAATGAATATCAAGCAATCCCAAACGATAACTATCACTTTAATATCAGCATAAAACGAGCCAACGCAAAGATGAAACTCATAAAAACTGCAACCATTCAAAATTTTGTTTTGAATTCAATTAAAATTGCCTAGTTACATAGTGGCAATTTTTTTCTAAATATGACTGTTTTTGGGGCAATAGATGTTTAGGAAATAAAATAAAAACAATCCCAACACTAAACTTAAGTATAATTAACAAAATATGTACAATTATAGATATCCAATACTATACTTATGTATAGAAAAATTATGTCCTTTCTCTCTTTAATATAAAATCCATATGAATAACTTGCAAAAATTTTGCACAAAAGAATATGGCAACTCCTTCTTTTAAATATCATTTTTATTAATTAATTTATAACTCATCCATTACTTCTGCATCAGTAAAAAATTGGTGTCAAAAATTACTGGGTTCATTCTATCCTAATTCTCAAAATAGTGGTGATAAAACTTGGCTGATCATTTGGGAGACTTGATCTTTATCTAATACTGCATCTTTTACAACAAATCCTTTTTCAGCCAACTTCACAACTTTTTCTTTTTCTTGTTTGATAGTGTTATATTTGGTTATCTGACAAAACCTTTATTTTTTATTTGTCAATCCAATGGCTTTACTTTGCTATTTTTTTCTGTACCTTGATTTACAATACATTTTTTTTAACTTTTGTTTCGAAATTAAGTTTTTTGTTTTCCCAATAGTTCTTTATTATATCTGGAGGTGACCGAGGAAGCATCAAATTTGTTGAAAGAGTTTGGACTTTTATTTTCTAACAAATTTTCAGTGCCTTGATTTACTTCAACAATAGTTTCCTCAGTTTTACCTTGGATATCCACAATTACAATTTTCTCAATTAGAAAGTTTGAAACAATGCTTGCTTTCTTTTTATTTAAAACGCTATCCACCTGCTTAACTGCAAATCTTGATTTTTTTGATTCTATTTCAAAAAGTTTTTGCGATGGTACAGCATGTTCCTTTAACCGTTTTTTTAATGGCAACCCTGAAACAAAAACACATAGTTATGAACATAGGACGCAAGTAGTTCAATGTCCATAATGTCTCAATCAAATCGACAGAAATACATACCAAGTAACTCATTTCTCAAATCACGTTTAAAATCTTCAGGGAGGAAGTGTTCAGAACAAATTATGCCGTTGGCGATATTAGAATTAGCATTTCTACTGCACAAGTGTACCCACTTTTTTCTCATAACAATTGATTTCGGAAATCTGTGAAAAGTTATACCTGGCAAACGTTTTTTGTAACTATTGTTGCAGTTATATACGGCACACGTAGTCCCAGACATTGTTTTTGATTATATAGATTTCTGCAAAAGTAAGTATACCAGTTATAATAACATAACAAAGTTTGACATATCACTTTCAATTATAGTCGAAGAAACTTGCAATAACAATTTAAGAAAAGATCGCAGAAATTTCTTAAAAATCAAATCCTTCAAAGATTAGCTCACACAGCATAAATAAGAAAATTGTCTCCTTGAGTCTTTGCCCATAGTAAAAAAAATCGCCCTTGGTTCCACACTTAGGCACAGGAATTTTAATCAAAGTAGATATTCTCATAACTTTGTTATTAGTCAAATTGACGTGCGTAAATGTTCTTTGGAATTTCTAGGATAACATCTAATTTTCACTTAAGTATCCAGAAGTAATTATTGTTAACAGCGAGAAAATACTAATCTCACTCAAAAGGGCAAGTTTGCCAAGATCATACGTCCAACAACCAACTTCAGTTGTTATAGTAAATCGCATGTGTTCAACAACAAAAACGGCAAATCATAAAGAGTTACACTACCGATTTATTTGTTGCGGGTATTTAGCATCTGGGCACTGAGGTTGGAGGCTCATCATTATCGAACCAGGTTTCATGAGCATCAAATCAATTTCTAAAGATACTCTTCTATTTGTACTGTCTTTGATATAATGTAAGGTCTGATTTATGCCATAGATGATAGAAAGAAGTTTTGGTTTTGTTTTCAGGGTAACCAAACACACAGAATACAACCTCTTACCTATCTGCGCCAAAACTAGTTGTCTTTGCCCGATAACCCAACCCAGCCAGTGATAAATAAGTTATGGCAGAAACGAAAAGTGGATTACATATTCTTAGTTAATGATCGATTTATAATTGCAATGAATAGTGACGATGTTGTATATCTCTCTCTCTTATTTTTTTCTATAGGATTTGGAGTTTTTTATAGGAAACTTCCAACTGCGGAATATAAGCAAAATGTAGGAGCCATTTTGGGGTTGATAATTGTATTTTTGGTGTCCGGATTTCATTCTCTACATTTCCTTTTTATAATAGTTGTAAATAGTCTTATAATATATTCTGTTGACAAAGGGTAAGGTTGGATGGGTTTAATAATTTTACAGACATATAATTTCGAGATTTTCAGAAAATGTCATGTTTACAGTTTCCTGTTCTCCTTTTCTTATTTATGCTTCTTCAGGATGTCTGGATATTTTGGAATGGCATTCCCATCGGGGCACACCAATTTGGTACAAATGATTTTGACTTTGAAGTTAGTTGGTCTGGCATTTGAACTAAATTCTGGTGACATTGATTACTCTCAGTTAAGCATAAGGAAAATATTTTACTACTCATTTAACTATTGTGGAATATTAACAGGTTATATTTCTTGTCATATGTAGTAAGTGTATTTTATTGTAAATGTTCTAGGACCATACTTCAAGTATAAAACTTTTATAGATCATTTATATTGCCCATTTAACAAATATGACAACTATAAGTCTGCAACTCTTAAAAGATTATTTCCATATGTACCACTTTATGCTATTATTTTCTTGATTTTTGATTCCACTTGGCCAATGACAGTGAGTTCTTCCTTCAATGGTAACGCAGATCTTGTACGTTCTGTTGTAGTATACACTGACAGTAGAATTTTATCAAAGATCGTTTTTATACCGATACTGGTACATTTGGCCTACTTTTACAATCTTCAGAATGAGGATCTATGTCGGTTTAGTTCTTTCAGAATGTTCTTGCATCATGGCTGGATTGGGAATCTATCCTACATTTACTAAACCCAAACCCGGAAAGGGGCCTTCAGACAATATAGAGAAACTAAAAGAAATTTGGTAGGCCTTAAAACAAACCAAAAAATATTTAATAAATTAATGTTTTGTGTATAATTATTTTAGTGTTGATGAAAGAGCTTTGGAAACTTTAGAATATGACTATGAAACAATCAATAACATCAACCCTTACATAACTGAATTCTGTCCTACTTATAGAGAAGGAATCAAGAATTGGAACATGACTGTTCAGTATTGGTTAGGTGTTTATGTGTATAAACACTTTCCATACAAACAGTTTAGAACTTTTGCCACTCTTTTTGTTTCATCAATATGGCATGGCATTACTCCTGGCCACTACTTCTGTATTTGTACAGTTCCCTTAGGCCTTTTAGTGGAAGACATTTGGGTTAAATTATTAATTAAAGATAATTCTATTATTGTAAGTATGGATGTAAACCAACTCTGCATTCCTATATATCTGCTTTTATTGTAGCCAGCCAGGACAGCTTCACTTATACTGTGGTTTTTGAAAATGCAGCTTTTTTCTTACCAAATTATGGCATTTAATATGTTGGACCTTCAGAAATTTATGACATATTATAATTCTGTTTACCATTGTGTACCAGTTTTATGTTTTGCCTTGTACTCTACTGGAATATATCTTTTAAAAAATAGGAATACAAATACTAAAGAATTTTAAGAAAGTATGTTTTTATGTGTGATTTAATTCCATTTTAATTTCTCCCAAGATGCCTGTCTTGACCATGGACAAATAATTATGGGATTTATACAAAATTACAAAAAAATGTTGGGAAAATCTCTGGGAAGTAATGCTTGGACTTGAATTGACATGGGTACAATACAAAATAGTGCAAAATTTTCCAAACCGAACCATGTGAGATATTCAGATTACTTCCAATTTTTCTAGTACTAAGTTCAGGATTTTCATCAATAGAATTTAAAACTGCTTCTTCAATTTCTGGAGTTCTTACAGCCCAGTGAGCCCCTTTTAAATGATTATCTACCATCAAAGTACCTGTTTCAGTCAACCTTCTATGTACATTTGAAAAAGCGATCTTGACATAATCTGGCGCACAGCCATGAGTCAAACCATACATAAAATGCATATTTGCCAACTTCTCATTTGTAAAGTCGACCATTCTTTTTTTAAATAACAATGCTCCGATGTTTTAAACACCAAATTAATAAGACGCAAAGAACTGAATTTAAAAGCTGATGTCAAACAACCACCTTGACAATAGAATTAATAATTCTTACAGACTCAGTCTACTACAATGTTAAGAAATAATTATGAAGATTTCAAAAATACACCTCAGAGTTAACGTACTTCATATTCGTAGTTCGATTTTTTGAAGTATTTTAATAAAACAAATAATTATTTAAAGTAAGAAATAATAATGATAATAATTGTCTACATACTGTAATATTTTTTTAGGCGTAATCGTACATTGGACTAAAAAAATGAAGAAATTAAATTACTTTAGAAATGACTGGAGATTGTAAGAATAATTATTATTTTAAGAGACATTCCGTATGCCCGCCACTAGTATATTTTAAAAAATTACACATAGTACATGTTTGTCAAATTTCATTACCATATCTAAAATGGTATTACAATAATGTTGAAATACTATATACTATTTTATACAAATTAGAGCAAGTACCCAATTTCCATTTAAAAAATTCTTATATTGGTCTAGATGTAGGACTGACATGGTGGTCACGTATCCCGAGGTGTACCGCCAGAAACCAGAATAGGAATAAGGCGAAAATATGAATGTTTTTACATAAACTAACTTGCAAGAGCGATGAATATTCACTGAATAATCAGATACGGATATGGTGATACAAAATACGTCGATAGATGGTGTACCAATCCTCCGCCGACTGATCATAGCGATTATCGTATAAGGAAAAGAAGAAAATTGACGCATAAGGTTATGTGTTATATTTTAACTTTGTTGTTCACGTCCTAAACACAAGAGCCTATAGTATGCCGAAAAACATTATAAAATATGACAGTATTGCATGATATATTAAAATAATATTAATTTATAAAAAATAAATGGAAAATTTATTTGACGAAATTGGGATTCCTAAAAATCACATTAGGAAATCTAGTAAAAATGATAGATTTGTTGTCTTAGTTAACAAACAATGGTTGAAGTAAGTTTTCCATTACTTTAAATATGGAAAAATGCTAAAACGTGCTCTTCTTTAAGGTCATTATGCAAACATTCCACTTTAACAGAATTTATTCCACATCCTAATCTGGAATCTTGGCCACTTAATGAAGAATTTAGTTCATGGTTGAGAATATTTGTATCTATTTACAAGAAACGGGATGCCAAAGTCATACCTTTGCCTAGAATTAGACAGTTATTAAAAGAAGACAATCCATTAATGTATCATCAACTTCTGCAATACATTTGCCAAACAAACTACAAAAATCTGTGGAAGGATGCATATAAAAAATATGTAGTATCAGAATTCAATAGAGAGACTCAGGTCCCATTAGTATACTATAATGATGTTCTACGGGAGATTTTATTAAGAATCTATGGGTGTCCGATTGTAAATAGTTTGGATACTCAGGACAGTCAAGATAATTCAAAGAGTTTTGATACTCACCCAAATATTCTGCTAGCTATATGTGGTATTGAGACCTTGAATGCATTTTTTTTGTTTCATTTTCCATATTTTGATCATACACTCAGTGATTGTGTGACATTCAGTCCTGCAATTTTGGATAAGTGCTGGACAAAGCCACTCTTTATCATCTATCAGTTATTACAGTTATTAAAATCTTTTCATGACAGAAGTTTGACATTGGGAGATATTAGTTTAAATGATATATATTTAACGGAGAATTTGTGGATCCATATTTTCCCACAAGTCAGTTCAAATATTTACATGAGCGACAACTTAAAATCGGACAAGCTCATGACAATAAAAGATTGTAAATTAGGTCACAAGTTTGTTAACAATTTGAGGTGTGAAAATTGTGGTTTAAGTACTTTTGATAAAGTTTCAATTGTAAACAAAAACCTACAAGAACTGTCTAATCTATGGATAGAAGGGAAGATATCTAACTTTACATACATTTCTGTTTTAAATAAGTTTTCGGGTCGCAAACTTGGCGATCCCAATTGCCATTATGTATTTCCATGGGTAACTGATTTTGCTTCAAGCAATGGCAAAAATTGGAGAGATTTGAAGAAGTCAAAATATAGACTTAATAAAGGAGACAGACAGTTAGATCTGACTTATGATCACTCACAAACACAGGTTAGATCACTCATAAGGTCAATTCTAGTTTGTCTGTCATAAGTTTCCTGCCACTTGCAGGTACCCCATCATGTTTCGGATGTTCTATCACCCATTACTTTCTATGTTTACATGGCCCGACGAACACCCAAAACAGTTTTGTGCAAAAATGTTCGTAGTATTTGGGTACCAGCAGAATATCCAAGTTCAATTCAAAGAATGCATGACTGGACTCCTGATGAATGTATTCCTGAATTTTTTACAGATCCTTCAGTATTTAGAAGTATTCATGATGATTTGGATGATCTGGAAGTGCCTCTGTGGGCATCAGGTCCTGAAGACTTTGTAGAGAAACACAGACAAGCCTTGGAAAGTGATCATGTCTCAGAAAGGTTACACTATTGGATAGATTTGACCTTTGGTTACAAGTAGGTGTTTTGTGTTATACAGGGTGTTATGGAATTCATATCATAAATAAAACATTGCTTGATTCAAAACAAATATTTTGTTCACTATTGTGACTATTTTAAATATGTTATAATGAGACAATTCTCAATTTTTTTGTCTAAACAGCCAAATATAATTCAATTCATGTATTAAATAAAAGGGGACATTTTAAAAATGACAGATTTATTTTATTGTCACTAATATAATTCTCTAATTTCACTGGGTGTGGTATAGAAAGAAGAAACATTAATTAGAATTGTTAGTCAGTCATTCTTTGGAACTATTAATGTAACCTGATAAGAATGAAACAATCATTTTTTAGTATTTTGATATATGAAAATTATAGTATAGTGTTGTTAGATGTACTGGGGTGAGTGATGCATCACTTATTTAATATTTGGACTTATTTCATTAAAAGTGGCTAAATTTGGCTGAATGGTCCAATGGACAAACAAGCATTTGATAGATAAGAGTTTGTGACTGATTTGTTATGTAGATAATTTTCTTATAAGATTTTTTACGTTAGAAAAAATATTGCTGATAATTGAGATTAATTGTGATTAAGGGTGAATCACTGCGTCTAATACTCTCACAAATCAGCTGCAATCATGCGAAATCAGTGCACTTGAGGGTCACTGGTGTCACTGCCGAATCCCGTAAAATGTCGATATTAACTGACGACTGACGTCATCATGGTGTTAAACAATGAAATCGCGGTACAAAGTTAATGTGACGCTCTGCGGTTTATTGTTTACTTTTGAGTATTTTTTTAATTTATTTTATTTTCTATTACTATTTTCGTTATTATTTATCTTTTATTCAGCAAAATGTTTTAAAGGAACGAGGTGTTTTGTTTAATTAAAATAGTAATAACAATAAAAAATGATTAAGTTAGGTGTCATAAATCTGCAAAGTCAAAATGGTGGCGTTTGTCTGGTATTCGTTTTTTTTTTTATTTTCACCTTCATTTTCGTAGCCAACTTCAGCAAAATATAAAACGGGTATGTGATATTTACAATGGCAAAAATTGTATTGCCAATATTTTGAAATCTAAAACTTTTTGAAATAGAAAACATACAAAGTGTTGGCTATTTAAGAAAAATGATTATAAATTATCAGTTTTTCTATAGTTAGTTAGTGCGCACCGCATTATTTAAAAAATATCAATATAGATCGGCAAAGTAGCAATTTAACAAGTAAATCAACCTAAAATGTAAAACGAAGGCTTTAACTAGCAGAAATAGATAAATATATTTAAAGCAGCCAGCGTCATTTTTGACATCAAATTCTAAATTTATGAGATTTAGGTATAAAATATTATATATGAAATATGCGAACGTTCGGCAGAATTCAAAACTGCCTCCACTAAGATATTAACACCCTGGATATATGATAATATAATAATTTTTTCTTTAAGTTTTTTTTAAATATTTTGTACAAGTTCTGAGATAAGGTGCCATCCCATAATAAAGCCTCCCGCTACATATTTCGTCATATTTTTTACAGATTTCACCCAGCAGGCTATTTAAATTTAGAGCGATTTTTCATATTATCGCCAGATTTTGAGTTTATTTTTTTTTTAATGTAAATCTTTGTAAATCTAAAATTAGTATCTTCATACCAAGACGAAAAACAGACCAGATGATGACGTTTAAGGTTAAAAAAACAGTTAAAATTACTTTTCTTCCTTTCGCTCTCTCTTTCTCTCTCCTGCTTGAAATTTTGGAAAATTTACAGTTTTAAAAATTGCAGAATTTAAATAAAAGATTGCCAAAAACGCATCGAAATGAGATTAAATGAGCCTTTACATACAGCAACTCTTGTGCAATTTTTCCTGTATAATGTTCTAATAAATATTTTAATTATGAAAACCATAACAGTATAATTTGTGAATCTTTAATATTTTATATATATTTGCATGTAAAAATTATAGTTCAGAGTTCTTCATTTCTACTTATTCTGTCATTTATAATTCCCGAATTCCCAATGCTAATCTTTATTAAATTAATCAACTTCTACAACTTTATTCGAAAGGCAAAGCCAAAAAGACAAGTTAAAATAAAAGTAATTTAGCTTTATGTATTTAATTAATTTTGTTTTATGTTTAATAACAGTTTTCTTGCTTTTGTTTTGTTAGATTATCCGGTACTGCTGCTGTAAAAGCGAAGAACGTGTGTTTACATTTGGCAGATGACCACACCAATTTGACTAAATCAGGTCTAGTTCAATTATTTGTACAACCCCATCCCCCAAAAGCCATATCGTCCCCCTTCTTTGGAAAACTACCTCCGAAAATCGTTGTTAATAAATCTAGGTCTCGAGACAGAGGTAGCGAAGATGGAGGGGAATCTGGTAAAAGTGATGAAGATGAAATTACCAAGGCCATTTCGGAGTCTTCGTTGTTCGGATTATCCAGGATCATGTCTAGGAGTAGGTCTTCCTTGAGTGAGGATCAAGGTATTTGAATCAAAAAACAAGCAGACCAAATCTTATTTGGCATCTTGTTTTTAGGAGGATCAAAAATTAGTCGAAGCCCTAGTGCTCAAAGAAGTACAAGCCTAGGGCCTAAAAACGCAACATTCACTTCCCACCTAAACCAACAAGTCAAAGGTAATCATGTGCAGACGATAGAGTTACCCAAAGAATATAAACCTGAATTTGCTTTGGAAAACTTGGAAAAACGATACTCTTTTATGTCTAAAACGTTTTTCACAGAATGCGCGAAGTCATTTGAAGTGTTTGAAGATGAGATCAAAAGTGACGACCATTCCTTAGTCCAGAATGCCTTTACAAATTTTATTTATACAGAAGGGTTCAAAGAAAAACTATTTTCCACGCCAAATGCCTTAAAGTCCCATACTTTCCCAGTGGAGAATAGCAGAACTCAAATCCATCTGCGACATAATGTACAGCAAAACATGAATCAAATTATGTGCAATTATTCAGAAATTATTTCGAAGCGCAAAGTGAGAGAGCTGCAAGTTCTAGGTTGCCTTATAGTTGAAATATTTATGGCAAAACACCTACGAGCCTTGGGATCTAACAATATAGGCCTAACTTTCTCAGAACGTTTCAAAAACTGCCTAACTGTGATCAAAAATTTCAAAAATGACATTCCTCGTTGTATATCTTACATAGCAAATTTGCTCTTGCAACCTTCGACATCAGATCTTAAAATGTCATGCTATGCACCTATAACCCACTTAGGTTTACCTCCACCCAGTGCTCATTTGCTACTGGAACCATTGCTCGATTGCTTAATTCCATTCCAGAAATCATTTTCAAAACTTTACATGCTACTTGAATCGCTAAAGGAATTTAAAAATGTTGAACTAGAACTAGATTTACTTTATCATTTTGATTGTGATGGCACTATGTGTTCGGACTATGAACAGTTAGAGAAGACAAAAATACTATTTTCTCAAAATATAGCTGAGTGTAAAGTTAAATTATGTGTAAAGCATCTGGAAGAGCTTTTAATTCAAATCAATCCTAATTATGATGTGGAAATTGTTAATATAATAGTCTCCTACATAGTAGACCTCATAGAGGACCCCCCAACCTCTGTGCTGTCGGCTTGGTATCTCTTTGACCCAATTGCTCGCGTTCTGGGGCCTAGGAGAACTTCAGAAATGTTATTGCAGCCCATTTTGAAACTCTTTGAAAATGAACCCAATGAGAGTAGTCTGCCTTTCTATGGAAAAATTGCCAAGCTTTATCACCACAGTTTCCTTCTTCGGTTGATTGTGAGATTAGGTTTGAAATGCTTCCTTGAAAACTTTATGACACCATTAGTTGAGGCAGTGGGCGGTTACAAGGATTACGAGAAAATTGAGTTTTCACTGCACACCCATTTAGAGAGGATTGCAAAAAAAACGTCGCACTTAAAAACTATGCAAGCGGACAAAGAATTTTCCAGTGAAACTGCACCTAAATCGAAAATAGAGCCCCCGCAGTTTGACAAGGAGGAAGACCTCTTTGAATTGGATGAGGAAAAAGAAAATGAGGAGCAAATGAGGAGTCTGATTGAACATTTGGAATTAAACATTGCTTCAGATCTTCCGTTTAATCATTCAACCGCTGAAGAAGCCTTAGACGCTTTCAGTGAAAACATTGATCAGTTGCAGAATATAGAGGAAATGACTGATGAGGGTGAGACAGGGAATAAATCGGGAATTACTTCTCCTACAATTCCGATACCGTCCAGTTACCATAACACCTTGGCCAACATTAGTATGTATTATTTCATTAATTTAAAGTTTCACAATAGTATGCTACTTTTTCGAGACATGAAAAATTGCGCAAGCTGAATTTCTTTAACTCTCTTCCTTTTTTAAATATCGAACCTTTTTTTTGATTTTTTTTCTTTTTGGTAACATTGGGAAGCCTCTTCCTTGTACAACTTTTTGCATGCAATTCAGTGCTACTCTCAAAATAGGTATATGGTGTTTTGACATGACTAGCTAATCGCTTGTTAATAAGTTATCCAATTAATAGGTAATTTTTAATTTCACAAAATAACCTATAGAAAGTCTCTAAATAGAAAGCTTCCTAATTTTTGGCCATACAAGATTGATTTGAAATTTTTTCTCCAAAATATGGTCCATATTGTGAGACGAAAAATATATAATACACTGTTGCCGTAGATATTGCCAAATACTAGACCATCTTTCTTTTAGGCTGTGAAATTGGTAGTAGAATAAGTGAATCCGGTAGCCTACTCGAGACGAAGTCATTACCATTGGATTCTCCGAGTTCTTTAAATGACCCAACAAAAGATTCAATAAACTCAGAAGAGACCCCTTCTAAACCTAGTGCAAGACCGAGAGACGTAGACATCAAAATCTCCGAGATAAGTGTTGACTCGATAATTTGGCTCTCTCATAGACTCGGTCCTGTGTTGATGGCCAGGTTTTTGTCAAGAAATTTGTTAAAAATGCTTACGTTATGCTACGTTGGACGGGATAACTTAACCTTCCTGTTACAAGATGATAACAAAGCAGATGGCATCAGCATATCTTTTCATAAAGTAGTGGGAGACCAGAGTGCTATCAAAGTTTTGGATTGTCTGGCTAGCATTGCTGGTAAGCAACAATTACATATTTATTTAAATGCTCCCGCTAAATATTTCAATTTCAGCTCTATATGGAGAAAAATTAATATTATTTCAATATCTACCTCACATTAGTGAATTATTGACTCTGTCCAAAAAGAAGCTTACAGCCACCCTTGAAGGTGGATTGATATCTGGTTTGGTACTGTTGAAGCATATCATCCCGTACTTATCTGATTCAACTTTAATGGACCAGCTTCAGGTAAATGATAGTGTAATTGTTAATAATTGTAAACAAAAAAAAAATTTTAGGATATCTTCACTAACATCATTCACCCAACCGTCAGGTTGTTGGGTTCCATAAAGCATGTATTCCCCAACGGTTCCATTGGAAGAAACGTTCTAGCAAGAAAATATATTGACACTTTATACATTCTTTCCATTAGAATAGGTTCTGATATGTCTAGGAAATATTTGTCTGTCCCATCCTTGCAGAGATTTTTTCTCTTGTTTGACAAAACTGGCGAGGAACAGATCACGAATCATCCACCGTGGCAACTCGAACGACCTAATTCTGGAAAATCTCATGCTGAATCAGAGACGTGTGATTTAGCGTCGACGTCTATCCCTCACATCAGACTCAAAGACTCTGAATCTCTAGATAGCCTGTCACCTACATACAGTTCTTATGCATTTGACGACGAGAACATCGTAAAAGCAGCCATCGACGAAATCCAAAATGTTTTTACCCCAGACCTAGCCCACACCTCTTACCTGTCTTTTTTGAATCACATTGGAATCCACTCCTTGGATATATCCTTGAAAAATCACGACAGAATCCGGGAGTTATGCCAAATTCACGAACAGGAAATGAGAAACAGCGAATCTTTCGTGAAATTGAAAATTTCTGATTTTAAATCTTGCCAAAGTATGGGGTCTTCTGGTAGCATTGGCAGTAATATTAGTGTGATTGGTAACAAAAGCAACTGTGTTTGGTATATTACATTAACGACAAGTCTTTGCTTCTTAGGTAACAGGATAGATGTTCAAGATCGGCCTTGCTTGTCGCCCGCTACAGATTTGCTTTCGTTGGTTAGTAATCGTATCGAAAATAGTAGTCGACATCTGAGAGGAAATTGGTTCTCGTATTGGGCCCACGAAATCGGACGTCACGAAAAAGACAATTCCTTCAATTTTAATCAAATTAAACTGCAAACATTCGTGGGTAAGTGGTGCGTGAATCTAAAACAAAGGGGCGCAGAAATTCGCTGAATATTATCATAAATTTTTTTTTCATTAAATTCTTTTTTTTGGTAGATGAAAGATGTTTATGCAAAGTAAGATGTAGCATGTTATATGCAAAGGAGGCATGAGAATTTATTCATAAAATGAGTATCAAACGGAGCGGCATATATATTTATGAATGATTTGGTTCCCATTCTTTGTGTATGTAATGTAATGTAATAAACAAATAATAGGCACAAAATAATTAAACAAGAACATGGGGCATACTAAATAAAAAAAAAAACAAAAGAGTGTAAGCATATAAAATGTTTGTGTTAATAACGGAGCTCTCGGAACAAAGATTATTTCTGCTCAATTCCAATTTAAGATAACGGACAAAATTTATTTATTTATTTTTTCATGGGTTACACCATTTTACAAATTTACCTTAACTATGAATAACCTTATGTTCACGTAAACTAGGATATAATAAAAAGAAAATAAACTATGGACAGTAAAAAACTACATATCATTCAGGTGGCAGTACTATAAATCAATTTAACAACATTTGTCTTAATTTAATTTTAGAGCTATTTAAAAGTATTGATTTACAAAGGAGACCAGCCTATATAAAGGCATATTTTGAGAATGCCGAGTATTACTCAGTACAGGAGACAAAAGGTGACTTCCTCTCAATTCTCTAGAAGGGACATGAAAATTAAAACTTGACAGAATACAAGGAGAATTAATAGCACCATTTAGCATTCAAAAGACAAAACATAAATCCAGAAATTTTCTGCGATCCTCGAGAGTAGCCCGTCCATGAAGCTCCCCCACTTTGTGAATCGCTCTGGCCCATTCAATACCCAAGATATCTTAAAAAATTGTTCTGCACAGCCTCAATTCGGTATTTGTGGATTTCGTAAAAAGGAGCCCAGATTGATGACCCATACTTCAAGATAGGACGGACATATGAACTGTAAAGCACGACAGTACATCCCAAATCAAAATCAAAATCTCCAGACATTCTCCGCACCAGACCCAGCACACGGTTAACCCGACTAATGACATCGTCAAAGTTCCGCTCAAAACTTAATTTGTCTTTATTACTTGCACTCTCTTCAACACACACTCATCCATTCTATATGAGCAATCAGCAGGATTTTTACATCGAGAGAAAACCATACAGGCAGATTTCATCCTGCACTATTCCACTAGCGAATTACTATCCCTATCCCCTTAGTATCCCTAAATATACCACTGTATACAGCGGTAAATTTTTAAATCTTCTGCAAAAAGTGAATAATCTAACTGCAAATGATAAACCTATATCATTCACCAGAAGAAAAAACAATTTTGGGCCCAGATGAGACCCCTGGGGGAGAAAAACAGCTGATCTTGACCTGTTGAGTACGACCCCGGAGATAGCTTGATAGCCACATTAGAAACGCACCTCTAATACCAAACTTTTGAAGTTTGTTCAGTAATATCCCTTGGTCCAGCAAATCAGAGGCCTTGTTACAACAAACTAATGATGTAATATTTTATTTAGAAAAAATATACCACCGATATCTTGTATCTCCGCCACCGGCGCATCTAATTTTTTAAAAAAGGCGTCAGGTTATGAACTGAATTTGTGTAGATATACCCAAGGTTTTTGTTTCACTCGTTTTATAAAATAATTGAATTCATGGATTATGAAGCTTCATTGGCACTCTTTGTGAATCACCCTGTATAAGGAAAATAAATATATGATTTTTAAGGTCACATAAATAGTGTCAAATGTATCCACCCACTTGATAACGAGAACAGTTTTATGTCGGGCTCGAGAGATAAAACAGTAAAATTATGGTCCTTGAGAAGCCAGGGCGACGGGTCTGCTACTTCCAACTGTCAGTGGACCTATACAAATCATAAGAAGTCTATTTTATCTATGACATTTATCGAAAGCATGCGATTGGTGAGCGATTGTTGCGCACCTTGCTCTTTTGTCATATCTGCCTTTACTCTTTAGGTGGCGTCTTGTGACAGCGTAGTTCATTTATGGGACCCTTTCATGGGTGTGAGTATAGCCCAACTAGAATCGTCCAAGTATTCTCCGGTAAATGTGGTGAGAAGTATGCCAGCCCCTTCTAGCCTGGTCTTTTCAGCAACCACAGAAGGAGCTGTTAAAATCATTGACACCAGGCTTACCACATATGTATATGATTTGAAAGTAAGTGATTATCCACGAACAAAAGTTATGATTTTTGATTCTGTGCTTACAGATTACGGTAAATCCTTCTGGTCTGATTCGTTGCATGGCCGTCAGTCCTTCGGGCAATTGGATCGCTGCAGGACAATCGTCCGGTTGTATTACTGTCTTAGATACTAGAACGGGTTTAGTTATATCGAGTTGGAGAGCTCACGAGGGAGAAGTACTCCAGTTAGGTGCTGTGGACGATAATGCAATTATCTCAAGTAGTCTGGATCAGACCATAACCGTTTGGAGTGTGAATGACGGGAAGTTTAAACACCACATGAGGTAATCACTATTGTTAATTTTTTTTCAGCTGTATTCTGATTTCTTCCCTTTGTAGGGGTCCCACTGAGCCGGCTCATTGTCTCGTCGTTTATGACCAATGCCAATTGGTCAGCGCAACCACTGCCAATAGAGTAGGTGTTCACACTAGCATAGCGGCGGATTCATCTTATAGTAGTACGAAATTGAGGGGCGATACTTTTAAAGGATTGCTAACTGCGATGGCTATTTTGCCGCTAAATCGATTACTATTACTTGGAGCTGACAATGGGCAAATAAGCTTACTTTGTTAAAAAATGGTTAGTGTTGCATATTTGAAACATTGGTTCGAAAACTCATTTAACTCAATTATTCCCTTTCAGAAAATATCTAAGGGAGATTTTTTACAATTTTTGTTATTTTGGTGATTCAGCCTCGCAATTAAAAAAAAACACCAGAAAATCGAGTTTATCGCGATTATGCAATAAGAGTACAAGTAAAAAGCAAATGAAAGTAGTTTAGATGTGTTAATGTGATATGCTTTAATGAGATTTAGTATTAATGCGTTGAATATGTTTAGATTGTTGAAATTTAAATTTTTATCGGTGGAAGAGTCGGATCAATATAATTTTGGAATACTCGGTTTCATAGTAAGATTAATTTATTAAAAAGCTCGCAATTGAATCTGCAATTACAGAAATGATATATGAAAATTTAAAATTCTCCAGGATTTGGATTACACAATTTTAGCTTTTTTTTAAAGTGCACCTAACCGAAATTCCTTTTTAGTGTACTTAAATAGGGTTATATGGCATTATATTTCATTTTCCGGTATGGTATTATTAATTCCAAAGAAGTAATTTAAAAAAAATGTATAATTATTTTAACATAAAAGACATTAATTAACGACTAGGTTAAGGAGACAACTTCAAGTGTAATCATGTTTTTGTAAATCTTATATTGTTGATTCTAAAATAAAAAAAAATAAATCGGCCAAAGAGTGATTTAAACTTACCCAAATGAGGAAGTCATTGATATAATTTCGAAGCCAGGATAAATAAAGCCTTAACTCGTCCTGTGTTAAATTATGAATCGAGAACAAGAACAATTTCTGGTCACTTTAAATCCACACAGTGTGAAAAGTGCAGTTCATTGCGCCGATGATCGTTCAGTCCTTTAAAAAATTCCATAGCTCTGATTTTTTTTTACCTATATTAAATTTAAGTAGTAGCTTTAGGGTGTGGAAGCATAAAGCTATTAGATAATACATATGGTACAGTAAAAATTGATGCGCCTTTAACATTCAACTACTAACCTGCACTTGCTTCTTTCTAAACAGCGATATACAACTCCTCACTTGTTTTTCCAGGACACAGACCTGGACAAATTTTGAAAAAATACGGGCGTAAAAATGCCACAGCTAAACTGAAATCTGTCGAATTTACGAACTGTCAGCTGCCATATTGGTTGTTAAACGTCGCTAGGTCTTATTAATTGAAAACGAGTTTTCAAATGACCATATTGCATGCGCATATTAAATACTATTTTTCATCGTCGCTTCAAGAATTTCCGTATTAGAGTTCTCCAAACGAAATACAGTTTTTGCGACATAATCCGGTATTTAACTTGACAATTTTTTTGAAGGTTTAACCGCAGGCCTACCTCGCTGGGGTTTCTCAATAAATAGATTCGCAATTCCACAATGATGTTCGAAAACCGTACTTCGGTACTTCGTATATACACATGTTGAAAGCGGACGGATTTGTGTAGAGTTTCATCGGTGAGATTCCTCGATTATACATGCAGTACATGCAGTGAAAAATACATTCTTTTAAATCCTATTCTTAAATTGCAACAGTTCGCAATATAGTCCTTTTTGCTTTGCAACAGGCGGGTTTTAAACTCATTCCGAAGTCAAAACCATAAAAGGTTGTAAAAACGGTATATATTTCGGAGAACTCTATCATCATAGTCGGACCTCTACAAGTCCCGTAGCTATTTGTTACGGACTAAAACAATTGCTTTATTCAGAACTGTCCTTTTAAGTTGTTTAAACAAAAAATAATGACGATAATTTGTTGGAAGACCAACTAATTAACAGGAACATATTAATCACAACTCATTAGAATGTGTTTTGAGGATTTCTTGTTTGGAGTGTTTAGGTCATTGAAGGGAACAGTAATAGAAATACTCGGTCTTGCTTTGTCATTTATATGTGAAATAAATAAAATAAATACATAAATAAATAAATACTACAACTAGCCCTAAAGTAATGAGAGAGATTTCATTGTATCAACGTTTCATAGGTAATGACGCTGGGGTGTATTCTAAATAGGCACATTTGTATAGTAACCTTAAAGCTACGGTCTAGGTTGAGGAGGGGGCTTTAACATGGACCTTGCTGCTGCCGCCAACTTCTGCGACACCATGGTAGCAATTTGGGGGCTCCTCTTCCACATAAATTCCCTCGTTTTATCATGATCATCACTGGCATCAATTCTAACCTAAAATTAAATACCAATAAACATTTAAGGTTTTTCTAGCGGCTGAAATTGCTGGTCGACACTAAACCAAACTACAAAGTTATAGCACTGCATGGAATAGATAAATGATAAGACTGTTGTCACATTTGTTAAATATTTTCCAATTGCAACGTACTGATGCAAACAGCCAGTTCAGTCTCACTTTCATTTCTTTAAATTCTGGCAGCAATGTTGTGGCACTGACCGATTTGAAAACTAAAGTATGAGTTCATTAGTTAATATGTTACTGCTTCCAAGATGTGCTCGGATTTCTTGCTTGCGACAAATGAAGTAAGATTATTCCTAACAGTTTATTATATATTAAAACAAATTTATATATTAACACAAATTTTAAGAATTAATTAAATGTAAATGAATTAAAATGTAAATATTTTTGAGTGTCTAGAAAAATATGTTTTCAAAAACAACAAATTTAATTGCTGAGTCTCGTTTGGATACAACGTCATGGGTGTTTTGTTCTGGACCAACAACTGAAGTGAATATAATTTATTGCAGTACTACTTACCTGTTTCGGCTGAAGTACCCTTATCGAGTGTAAGGTAGCGACTCCACCGTTAATGATTCTGAGGTTGAGCCGCCCATACATCTCCGCTGTTGTAGCCGTAGCACTTCTCAGCACCTTTTTGCCACTCTTTGCCATCTAAAAAATATGGATGCTTACCAACGTTATTTATTGCTAGCAGATCCGATGTAACTTTACCTCCCTCTCCACTCTGAGGGTGAGCGGTCCCATAATGAAATTGGTCTTTACCGTGGTATGATCCGCCATCATGTTGACCGATACGTCGCCATCGCGTTTAAGAGAGCTCAGACCGAAGAGAGTGGCCCTCGGTTTTTGTTTGTTGGACGATGATTGTTTTATTTGGCCTTTGTTGGGAGTCGCCTAAAGCAATTTTATTTCGTTTAAGTGTTAGGTCTAAGTTGCGTCCTTATTACCTTGGTAGTATTTTTTTTCTTCGTTGTGGTCTTTTTGGTGTTGGCAGTTGGTTTTTTTTTGGACGCGGTAGATTGAGTGACCCTCAGTTCTTTGTTTTGGTCGGTCGGTATGTCTGTTGCAACAGTTCCGACTTTAGAAACTAACACAAACTCCGATTCTCTATTGTCGACCAACAAAGCCTTAGGTGTCTCAGTATTATTTGCGACAGGTTCGTATTTATATCTGAAATCGTAATGTGTGTTGTGACGCAAGGCAAATTTTCACTTCTTTTTGCTGTGTCTGGAGATGTTTTTGTACTAGGTGATCATGATACATGAAAAGTTCTTATATTTTATATTGTAATCAAAATTGAAAATTTAACAATTTTTTTACCAATTTTACCGACTGGCCCACTACGGTTCAGAAGAAATAGATTGGTATACCACTAAAGTGATTTTTATTGTAGAATAAGGGGGGAAGGAACTTTTCTAATAATAGTTAAAAGCTGCGAGGATTGATTTGGAAGGAATTTTTCAAACTAGCTCCTCTTAAACAAAGCAAATTCTGTTTTTATAATACATTTAATATTCCGTTTGAAAAAAATGAAGAATGCGCAGATATTTTTCAGTTTGCAAACGCCTTTTTTTAAACAAAATATTAAATATCCGAAAACCGGTGAAACTTAGCTATTATAGGATATTGTACATGAAATATGTCTAAAATTTTGACTTGAAAAATGAGATCAAAATAAAGAAGTTCACATTCACTTTCTATATAAGCGGGAAATGTTTTAGACGTATGAGCCCCATAGATTTTAGAAACTTAATTTTCTATTGCTACTTCAACAACACTGAACAACATTTGGTCAAAACTACACAGTGAATTAACTGATTTAAAGCAATAATGGGGATTTTTTCTTTATTGTGTTTTCATTAATTTCTTGTAAGTATTGTCAAAAAAAAGTAATTTTATGTTTTCTGCCCTCGATTATGACTTTTTATGGAGTGAATTCGTTTTTTTTTTCGACATATAATAAAAAAGCAACGGATAAACAGCAGAAAAAATTACGGAATTCCAACTAATTACAGGGGAAATCCAAGGAGTTATGAAAATATAAAAAGAAATAGTTTTATGTTTCGCTTTATATAAACACGGAAAAAATACCTGGCGAGTTCGAGTTCACCATCTTGTTTAGCTGTGCCATTTTCGCCGGCTCTTCTCTGGCCTTTGTCTTATTTTTGTTCTTATGGTTTTTGTTTTTCTTGTTATTTTTCCCTATGTTTTTCTTTCCGCCGCCTAACAACTTGACTCGTACTGGGTCGTACTGTTTGCCCAGGAGACGGTTTATTCTGTTGAGCACAACGTCGACGAACCTGTTGTACTTGGCGATATATACTGCTGGCATTTTCGGCTGACCGGGCTCCAGGGCACCTAATGTAAGGCGATAGAGTTTTTATTTTTTGCCGCATTACTTTCGGACACTACACATTTCTAACAACTTTATTGCCGAAGTTGCGATGATTGTTAGTGGTACCTGGTACTACTGTAGTCAAAAATCAAAATTTCGATTTAGCCTTAGTTGTGTTGTGTTATCATTGAATAGGTGTTTTTAGCCTGTTATTAGTAAATATGGGGGTAGATAAGTAATGCTATCAAAAATCTTTAAAAATAGTGATTGGAGAAAGTACCTATGACGGTACCGGTGATATTCAAAGACATTATTAATTATATTGTTTAGATTTTTTATTTCAATTTTATAAGAACTGGCTACTAATTCCTAGGGTGTTTAGTTTATATCCAAAATATTATTAACCAGTGTATATTCAAGTGTGTGTATGTCTTAGTGGGTAAATAATCCAAAAAAACTGATATGTGATGAATTGAGAAACGAATTTATTTATTAATTACTATTTTTGTTTTGTTTTTGTTTATTATTTTTGCCTTTATTTAAGGACGTTTGAGGTACTTTTCACCAAAGATATCATGGGAAAATTAGAACTGAGAAGGAAATTGGCTGAAAAACCCAAGATATCCAGGGTATGCTCTTCTGTAAAAAACTAAACCAATATTTTCGTTATCCTTTTTTGACGGTGACCTTGATATACCTGTGATGGGAATTGCCATGACTTCGTTTTGACCAATGCAGTCCAGAAAATATTTCTGAGAATATTTGTTCTGACAGGATACCATGCATTGCCTCTTTAGTGGAGCAAGAATGCATAAGTAGGAATGGCTTTCGAATAATAAAAAAATTACAGCCACGTGAGTAATAATGCTGAGCCAAACAAATCAGATAAATTTTCAAAAATTGGCACGTTCTTCAATATAATGACTAACAAATTTATCCAATTCGCTGGACAAATGCGTTCATTTTAGTTTACACCTCACTAGCCCAACTAATGGTTCGAAATCGCACTATCCTTTTTTTTTACACATGTCAATACAGAAAATTTGTTTTTTGTAATATTTAGATGTATGCAAGCTTTTATAATATTTTTTTTTATATTATTTTTCCTATTTAATGATCTCCGGTTAACGGGTTAAATAATGTACCGGAATTGTATCAAAATATGTTTTAGTAGAGTGCAACTGATTTCCCCTTAACTGAACCTACTGATTCACGGGTTTTACTAAACTAAATTAAATTTTTTATTTGTATTAGGATTTTTCTTATTTTTGAACGGTACCTTTCTAGTTCCGTTTATTGTACTTACAAGAACCTTTTTTGATATTTATTGATTTGAATTGCTTTGACGGAAATACCTTCAAAAAATAATAACACTCGCGGTCAAGTAGCATTTAACAAACCCGTCTGACTGACCAGAAACTGAGATAACTTTTCAAGTGCCTTTTTTGCAAAATAAATTAGAACTAAAAGTTGAGATATTCACGAAATTATATATATTCACATGACAATTGTTTCGACAACACCGTGTCTTTATCAAATGTAATATTTACAAAGTACCTGCTACCATATATACCGAAAATGGTTTTATTGTCATTTTTCAGTATATATAATAGCAGGTAGTATTACATTTAATTCTTATTTATTTTGTTAAATGGATTTTCATCGAGTAAAAGCCACCTCAGTTCAATGCTTTTTATGCATTTTTCTTGAAAATAATTTATTCTATTCTTATTTTTGTTTCTTACTTTTTATCTTTTTTATATTATTTTTGCAAGTGTCAAAATATGTCACTACCTAAATTGACATCAGACCGAGCGGTCCTACTTTTATTTGGTCAAAAGGGTCAAATTTCGATACCCTGTCGTCCTTTTGCACCTTTAGCAAGGTTTTATTACTTTGCGCTATTTAATAATGGAAAATACCATTCAAAATGCTGATGCTTCAGAATTATTTAGTAATAAATATGGTTGGTCAACCCAAAGCCATATCTCGAAGTCTTTTGTAAAATCCAAACTTTTCCGGTGTGGCTATAAATCAGTCGTGGTGTTTCGGTAATTTTGCTGAACATTTATTGACCTTTCATGTTATCATGTTCATTTTAAACCTATATTCAGGCGCTTTCACTGTCCGACACACAAAAAATTAATAGAATTCATGATTAATCTCGTCCGAGCGTCCTGAGAAAGTATGCGCTCACCTTCATTAACCTGCATTGAAAGTCCGTCCCTGACCTTAAGTGGTCGTTGGCATTGTTTTTGCACCACAGAGGCGGCGCATTTGGTATATAATATTTTAGCGCGATTTTGTTTACGAACTGCGTAGATTTCATTGAATTACTAAAAAAGATCAAAAATCTTTGACGGTTATTAAGTTGCGCGAGATATCCTCATTACAAATTTATCAACTCCTCGATTTAATTTTATAATGTATATAATTAACAGTACTAGTTTATGAAGTAACACGCTAAATTACAAAAAAAGTAAACAATCGATCTATAAATACGCATGTAAAAATATAAAAGTTAATAAAATTTTAGTTAATAGCAGTTTTATTATTTTTCGGAGCGGTACTTGTCGCGCCATCTACGCCTAAAGGGCGAATCATCATCGAATAAAATTAAATCAGAGGAGTCTGCAAAATACTGCCTTTAGCGAGCTTCGCAGTAAGCTTATGCGAATGCCCAAAGTTTCTTTGTTTGTGAAGACAAACTGTTTGTAAATCAATCCGAGTTTATTTGGGGCATTATACTACTATTTTAATTGCAATGCAGTCCAATCAAGAATGAAATGGAAGTTTTCGTGGCTGATATGGTAAAGACAATTCCGACTAAAAGTTAAACTGGATTCGCTACGCCTGCGGGATGACTGAAGAATGAAACTGTGACTTATTGAAAAAGGTGTTTCTAAAAATAGCGAATTTTCCAGTGAGTTAGTGATTTTATTAAGTAATAACCTTTTGCGCCACTGAAAGAAAGTAGTTCCTCTGGCGTGTCACTTTCTTTTGTAATTCAGAAAGATTAAATTACTGGCGAACAAATAGAGTTAAATTTAGTAAATAAGCAATGTTTCTACTAAAAATCAGCTTTTTTGATATTTGGAGGACTTAAATTAATGGTGGCGAGATTTAATCTGATTTAATCCCTTTCTAGTGTTAGTAAACAAAATAATAAGTACGCTGAAACAGTTTTTTTTTTGTTAATTTGAATTTCGTGAATGCGAGGTTGCACAATTTGACGACCCAGCACCGTGGCAAACCTTGCCTAACTTATCACTGTCATTATTTTATCCAGCCAGTAGTTGGAGTAAAGTTCTCCAAACTATATACCGTTTTTACAACCGTTTATGAATTTGACTTCGGAATGAGTTTAAAGCGGAAGGGACCATTCTTGTGAGCACGTATACCACAAACCACAACTAACCAGGGCCGTATTTTAAAAGTAGGGAAATTTTCTTAAACTGTTATGTTAATTTTCCCACTAGATAGTTTGATCTCTATATTAAAAACACATTGGAAAGCTTAAACTGATTTCCTTATTTAAGAGTTTATGCAATACAAAATCATATGTAGATAATTGATGTATAATGGATATTTTCCCGGTTTGCTATTGGTTGATTTCTGGAGGTTGGTGAAATTGGAGTATGCTGTCGGCTTTATAAAACAGTATTTTCTTAGTCGTCGAAGCTTTCGACTTATTTCTATTCCGTCTTGTGTTTGTAATTAGTAATTACCAACTTACTGTTATTTAATAGTTTCTCAAGGCTCAGACATATACATATACATTTTATTTCTTACCAAATACTAACGTTATTCAATTTTGTTAGTCACTTGCGATGTCCAGCGACGAAGAAGTTGACTTTGCAATCGATGACGTAATAATCGTTGATGATTAACATCCCTTAAATTCAAATGGATCAAAGACTGGGGTCCATTTGCCGGTTACTGCCAAAATTATAATATTAAATGTGTTCCTGTTTTTGAAATCAACATCTGGGGAAAGTGGAGCCATAAAATTAACGTCCGAAATGATTTAAACATCAAATGCGACAGTACGTGACATAGTTGTGAATGGTACTCAAGAAAGAAAAACGCGGAAAGATCGTGGAGTCCCAAAAAGTGTACTTGACATGCACCATGCCGGAATAGTGAGATGGTTGATATATGATGCGTATCAGAAGAATAATTTTTTAACAATTAAAATTTTACATGAAGAGTTGCGTAATGTTTTGAACGTTGACTGTTGCCAACAGATGTTGAGTGCGTTCGTACGAAGAATTGGTTTCTATTACGAAAACATCAATAAGAGACAAGTTTTTGTATGCACGAAGTACTGAAGTACGGATCTGGAACGTCATTGTCGAATTGCGCATCTATTTATTGAGGGTAACACAGAGAAAACCAAGCGAGGTAGGCCTGCGGTTAAAGCTGCATAAAAATTTACCAAAGTTATTATGTCGTAAAAACGGTATATAGTTTGGAGAACTCCAATATTGTCGGAATACCAAGCTCCAAGCATTGTATAACGAGTATTCTGGCCATTTGTCCCTCGGCAATAAGATTCAATCAGTAAATTCTTTGAAGTCATTTCAATAACACCCTGTATAAATTTCATTTTTTTGGAAAAAATCCATCAACGCTGCTCTGGGGAATATTTAGTGAAAGTTTCTAATAAAATACGTAATTGATAAGGAACCGCGGAACCAAGCGACACCACTGGTGTATGCTTCCTTGGGATACGAATCCGTTAAGATTGAGTACATTCCTCAGCGGTGCTTGTCGAACGGCTTGTTAAATATTAATTTTGGTGTATGAATTAGGCGGATGCAAATATTTAGGTGGTGTTTAATATTCGATGTTCCAGATAAACTGACGGTACTTAAATTGCTCTTAGATCAGCTCACTAGGGGCAAAAGTATTTGGATATATGAACGCACAAAATTTGTGGTAAATTGTGTTAATGACAGGACATGGATAAAATTGATAATAATGGTATCTGGACATACTTTGAAAAGATACTTCCGAAAAAATACCACAGCCACAATGACAACCGAATTGTGAACTGTCAGCGTCAATATTGAACGTCAATACGTTTTGTTGGTCATGCGCCTATTCAATATTCATTGCATTAAATTTTATATTTTCAAGGTGAAATTTTAGTACATGACAAAGAAAAAAAACTGACTAAGATTTCACCAATTATAGGGTATAGTATAAAGGAATTCCAACTAGTTACAGAGACATTCCGAAGAATACCAGATTAAATTCAAAGAATTATAATTATATAAGGAATTACGCTGTACGTTCTTCCCCTTTCCACTCGGATGGATTTGACATTATGGCGCCATCTTTTGTATATAATTTCGGAAAATATAAACTAGAAGAAGCAAATTTAATTCCTCTAAACGTTTTCATTTAGTAACGTTTAGTTTACATATTAGTTTAGTTGGACAGGAGAATTGAAATTTTGAAAATTACCGCTAAACAAGCCCTGTTTTAACTCAGTCCCCATATACGTATCCATATATACAGGGTGGCCACTTTTTCAACAGAGATTGTATGCTAACTTTTAAACAAGTAAAGGTATAGTGTCGGTTCAATGAAATGAAAGTTGTGTGCTTAATGCCTTGCATCTATCAGAATTCAATTACCAAAGGTGGGCTAAGAAATATTTCAGAAAAACCAAATTTATAATATTTCCTTTGTAAAGGACCAATTTTATAATTAGTACTTCGTGTTACTCGCTTTAGAGAGAAAAAACATGTTTTTATCGTCCTGTAGTCCGGACTATAATCTAAGAATACTAAGAATAGAAGAATTCCATTGGCGTTTCGGTTTAATCTGGCCCACCGAGCAGGCACGCGTTAAAATTTCAATCGGACGATTAATGACCCGTAGAAATCGTCGGAATAATTAACTGGTCAGGTACGGCCGAGTTTTGACGAACAAGGTCACTGGGTGGCCCACTTTCCAAAAGTGGCACCAAACATGTCTCGCTTACCGCCTGTCTTGCCGCGTTTGTCAAGCACGATTCGTTCGGAACTTCCGCAATCACATCTTCAGAAATCGCTTTGGTGTTAACCAGCGCGTTCACAATGTACACAGTTATTCGAAACGCTTCGTAAATTTCATTTTCCTACGATCGTGCCAAAAGTTTTACTTTTTGCAATATTCCAAACAACTATAATAACAAGACGTTTATTAACTAGACATACTGCAAGAAAAAACGAAATTTACATCAACGCTATTGTAATAACTACTTTGAAATGGCACGATTGGAAACTTTGCGCTTCCTGCAACAAATATAAGGTAGTTACAAAATAAATATTTTTCATGTGTATCACAAAAAATAAAGAAAATTTAAAATATTTAAATTCAAAGTACTTACGAATATTTTCAATTTGTATTTATGTGGTTTTTAATAATAACATTTGTTATAACCAGATTTAAACTTTTAGCACAGTATATAGTGCAACCTTTTTAAATCCAGTAAACAGCAAAAAAGTATTATTTCACGATAGGTATTTGTGCAAATAGTGCAAAAAGTGTACATTTTACACACGTACAAGTTACACAAGTAAAACGTTTACAATTTTTAACTATACCCTTTTGCACGATCCTAGAAAAAACAAATTTGATTCACATGTTAAACTGTGCACATGTAAATGTTGGTAGTTTTAATTAAATCAGTTCATTTAATATCAACCAATTTTCACTGTAACCATTCGCTAATAGTTTTTTTTTTATTTTCTTATTTTTGTATTAATATACCGAAAATATCAGTCAGAAAATATTAAACAAAAGAGACGCTCTCACTCCATTTTCGTTTTCAAATATTTATAAAAATGTTTTGGATTGAAGCTTTTAGTTTGCTTTATATTAGTTATTTCGTTGCGGTTAAAATACTCCAAACGTGACACATTTTCGAACAAGACCACACAAATTAGATTTTATACCGGATAAAAGACAAACATCGAAGAAACATGCCTGATCCACAAACAACTTAATCAAAAAAGGATATTTTTTCGTGGTAGAATTATTAAAAAAACAGTACCTAAAGTTTGCCCAGAGAAGATGTTAAAATATAATAAGGCCCAAAATTTTTGTATGATTATTATGTATAACAATAAATCCAGGCGAAATTAGTGATATTGACACTGAACTTTTTTTTATAGCCACACTTCTTTCTATCTTAAGCTAAAGCATTTTTTCTTGACTGTGATCATCAACATCTACGGAATAACGAAAGAGTGCGTCCCCATTATTTATACTCGGTTTTTATGAAGTATTTATATAAATTTCGAAATTTAAGACTCCTGGATTTGTTCCAGCTATTTTTTTATGAACTTGATTCTATGAATTATACGCTCACAAAGGGGGCAAATTGTTCTAGTCAACAGATTTTACAGTTAATGTAATGTAATACGAAATATCATCGAGACGTGAAAATTACAAAATACTAAGTGTTTACGCAACACATAACTATATTACTGTTATTACATGCCCATTAAACCGCGAGGAAAGTCAGAAGGCGAAAAAAATCTGATGAATTATAAACCTTTGTCGCGCGTATTTTTATTCACAACAAATATATTTATATAATTAATAACGCATAACGAACGTGAAAATCTTGGCGTTCTGAAATTAATTTTCCACTCTGTCCTAATTATAAAATTGTTCTTGGAACTAAATGAAGAATGCGAAAAGATGGGCATTAGAAAAATTGCGTCAACAGGCGAAGATATGCTCTCTTTTTTATTTTATGCAATTACATGTTTGGTTTGTTTTTTTTTTAAAGATGGAGATCATCCTAATGGAAGAAACGTAATTTTTAAATGCCCATTTTTTTCCATTCCTTACTAAAAGGCCATGGAGTTTGGGATATCCTGTATACCTATTGAGCCGGTACTTCCAAAATTTATTTTTTTAAATATCATCTAAAATGTAAATTTCGATATGTTTCTGTGTAGTTAAAATGGATGCGCGCGCGTGTGTGTGTGTGGGTATCGAATATTTGAATTCCGTACGTCGATTATAATGAATTAATCCATGCTAAATAACAGTTATTCCATATAATTATTCTACTCTACGAAAATATCGTTATTCCCTGATTCAAAAAGGCACCGATCCACCATGCTGTAGTTTTTAGTCGTATATAGTCTTATACTTGGTCAATTGTTAATTTCATCGTCACTACATAGCGAAAACCTAGTTTTCGGTCTCGTTGGTGCTACTTGTCCTTGAATCTAAATCTACTGGTTCGAAAATGCTCCTTCATCACGATAAAAATCAAATCAATCAATCAAAATCAGGTATAATAAGAATGGAAATAAATAGGTAACCGTGACTTGTACAAAGTGCGGTGTCAGGAAACATCATCATTTCCCAAAACTACCCAAACTTTCTGAGTCTAAAACGCAGTTAAAAATTCAAAGAAACTCTAATTTATTTTTGCGATTTGGAGCAATTTCGAAACAACTACGTCTAGAAACTACGCAAACTAAATGGTTTGACACTCACCTATTACTCCCCACCAAGGCAATAATCCAGCACATCCTCTGATCTACTTACCCTCTGCAGGCCCTGTTTCGATTTGCGTTAGTTCTATGTTTAGAAAACGATTGTTAAGGAAACATGCATGCAATTAGTACGGAAAGTAATGCATTAGCTAGATAGATGTCACACCAAAAAAAAAAAAACACGTACGGTATATACAGTGTAAGGGAATCATGACGTGGTAAATGTGTTCCAAATAAAACGCATTGCTGTTTTACTAAAATCGTATATTCGTGGTGGTATAAGAATCGTTTTGGAATGTACAAAATCTTTGCCGTTTAAACATACAGTTTAGTCACTGGGTCTGTGACATTTACCTAGTGTAATGCACGAAGCATTTTCATAATTTTCAAATAAATAAATTAATAAATTAATTGAAGGTACAAAAGAAGAAACTACTCCACTACATCTAATCTAACAGAGCAGGTTGTCTAGAACGGAAATGTTTAGTTTATGTGGTGTATCAAAAAACGAGTTGTCTACAAAGCTAAAACTCCGTGTGTAAACTTTTTTTGACAATAGGAAAAATCGTAGTGCTTAAAATAGATTAACTTCATTTTTAACAGATTTAAAAAAAAAAATGTTGAAGCAATATTTCACCGCAAAAATTTGTTGTATATTAGTTACCGGATTTAAAAAAATGTATTAAAGAGTCAATGTGACTCAGTAAAATGATAGGAAACTAAACATTTATAGCTTGAAATTTTACAAAGCGTTCACACAGAGACGAGAAAGGAATATAGCTTGAGGTATTGGGTTAAATTTTTCTTCTAAATCACCGATCCCGATTAACCCTCCAAAACGTATAATACATTTCGCGGAATGGATATTTTAGTTATTCGAAGTTTTTTCGAGGAAATGCATATTTTGGAGAATTGACGTCATCGATTTTACAATACCGTTGAAAAATATTTAAAGCGCCATCTACTTTAATTTTTTATCTTCCTTGCCTGTTTTATGAGTGTGTTGGTGTTTCCTACTGTGTTTTTTCGATTTACTGCTCACTTTGCCATTTTTAGACTCACGTGATCGCTTGGCCTCGATGACATCCGCCAGATCTGGCTCGTCGTCGTCGTCATCATCTTCATCGTCTTCGTCGTCATCATCATCGTCGTCTTCGTCATCGTCATCGTCTAAACTAATGTCGTCATCGTCGTCATCGTCATCGTCATCGTCGTCATCGTCAGGGTCATTTGCAGGTACCGGATCTACTATAACGGGATCCTGTACAGAGTTCTGCACTATGGGTACCGATTCCTCCTCGACGGGGTCTTTTTCAATCAGGGATTCGCTAAACTGAGTTTCCTCCGTACCAGTCTCGCTTTCACCATCAGCCTCTTCAGCGGCGTTAAGTTGTTCGTCCGGGGATGCCTCCGATTCCGGCACTTCCGGAACTGCCGAGGCGGCAACTGGAGTAATAGATGCTGATGGTTTAGACGGTCGTTGAGCGGTATTGAGCGTAGCTTGATCGCCAGTAGAGGGAGAGACGTCGTCGTCATCATCGTCATCATCGTCATCGTCCTCTGTAACAAAAAGCACATTCAAATTGGTCGCAGCGAGTGATACTCCAGCAAACGTATGTTTTAATTGATAGGAATACCTTTGCCCAATTGTCGTATCATCGTATTGCACAGTGCTTCCAAAATTCACTGTCCCCTTTCGTGATAATCGTAACACATATTTCGTATTTTTGGTCTACATTTTTACAAGAAATTTAATAGCTCCACTTAAATTTTGAAATTTCCTCAATTTTGGAAGTCTTCTGCTATTGCTGTATCTAATAGTGGCGGTGTGAAATAAAAACTGTTTTTGTTAAATGCTTTTAGGTAAAATTCACTACCGTGTACAAAACAAATTATCAGCTCAAACATTTTCATTAATTTAACAAAATAGTCGTTTCATATTATAAAGTTATTCAATATCGTCAGTGTGGTTCACAGACCATTTAGTAGGTAAGATGCAGTCAGTTTTTTCATTGATTCCGAGGTATAATTAATACCCCCCACCCCACATTTGTCATTTATAAAACTATAGCTCTCTGCTCTCGGTGAATCATTCGTATACGATATTCCGCAATTATTGGAATTACTTTATTTTTGTACAAATTCACAATAAAATAAATTGATCCGAGGGTGGCTTTTAGTTGATAAAAAATCCTTTTAGCAAATCAAATTAGAACAAACATCATTTGATAAAGGCACGGTGTTACCGAAACGGCTGTCATGCATCAATAAATAATTTCTGAAAATCGTTTGTTCTAAATTGGTTTTGGTTAACTAGACAGTAAAATATATCACTATGCAGATCGTCCTATTCAGAGTTCTAAAAAACTAAAAAAGAAACTTTAGCAGACTTGTTTCGTTATCGACGATCGCGAGTCACTTCGGACATCTTCGGTACTTTAGTCACGGCTTCTTAGAGCAATCGAATGTTTTCGGTAGATTTTAGCCACGGATGGTAATTTGACGTTTGTCAATTCGCAGGGTCACGTCACCCTAATGGTCGTAGAAGCGATATAGTATGCAACATTTTAATAAACTTCTTCAATCACTCATTTATTAAGCACACGCTCCGCTATTACTGAATCAAACTCATGACTAAAATGACGTTTTTTAAACTTGTTTCCTAATTCCTACTCTATCTGCCATATATTTTTCCTCAAGTGAGGCAGTTGAGTGAGTTAAGCGCAAAATGATCCGATCGGAAAAGATCGAGATCCTGTTAAATTGCATCTAGAAAATTGTATGAAATTAATATAGCATAATCTAAAAAAAACATCTTACTCCAATTGGGAAAACGAGACTTAGCAATTTGCTAAAAATATTGTCATATTACAATACTTTTCATATATAAAAGTCGCCACAATATTCATACATTTTTGTACATTGTACATCTTGCCAATTCCTATTTTCAGCGTTTCTTTTTAAATTAATCTATTTTTTTAATTACAGTTTTTATATTAGAAACATTTTTAATTCTTGCAAGGCCTTGTTAGTAGCAGACATTCAAAATTACTTAAAAAAATAAGAATAAAGTGAATGCCTACTAAAATAAATATAACAATTATCAGCTAAACAAATATATTATGATGATTCTCTTTAGAAAACCTAATTTCTAAGATATAGATTATTAATGAAAAATATTTCAATTTTTTAAAAATGACTTATTTAAATTAATTATTACCTCCTCCCAAGATATCGTCGAAAAGCCTTTCGAAATAATCCCCTCCTTCGTCATCGTCGTCGTCGTCATCGTCGTCATCTCCAGTGTCGTCGTCGTCATCATCATCATCTTCAACGCCCAAATCTAAATCGTCATCATCGTCGTCATCGTCATCGTCATCCGACGACTGTCTTCCTGTCACTTTTGCTTTTACAAGTTTCTTCTTGGGAGTTTCTTCCAATGAAGTGGCTGCAAAAGAAAAAAATAATTTTAAATTATTAACGTCATCTGACATCTGAAAATTGAGATTTGTTGACGGAGCCTGTAAAGTTTTTTAAAAGTTTAAGGCTACTATCAAAATTTGGGGGAAGTGGGAAGTTTATTATTTATATAAATAAATGAATGGGTTTCAGAAATTTCTTGCAGAGATAGCCAGAAACGAGTAGACATGAGGTTTGATTTACGATGCAAGTTCAAATATGACAACCTTATTTTGAAACGTGGAGGCTACGAGAGAATTTTCAAATTTTGGAAGCATTTTAGGAAGACGTCTATCACTTTGTTATTTGTGAAAATTTTGTCTTTTGTGTAGAAAGCTTTTCGATAGATATTTTTTGAAGATTATTTTTGGCAAGGTAGACTTTTTGTAAAATATCCGAATGCTGAAATATCAAAGTTGCTTTTTTATAAAACAGGCAATATTTTATCTCAACTCTACATTCCGCATAAAGTTCTCTTTAAATTGACGTATCACACTTAACATGAACTCGATTTTCAATTCACAAATATTTTACCAAAATAATTATAGTTTTTATAATACGTCCTTGAAATTATGATATTATCATCTATGGATTATGTTAGCCCATGTAAAATTAAGTTGAAATTAAAAATATTGATTATTTTCTAACAAACGTGAACCCACAAACACTTCGTGATGCATCTACAGAATGTTTTTGAGCTATTTAAATAAAAAATATGCAAAATATGTCTACGAAAAATAGCTTCAAAAAATATGTACGCTAAAAAATGTTACATTCGAACTTTTGAAAACTTCCTGGTAGCTCAAAAACTTGATCACTCTCTAGAAATTCCAAAAATGTATGCGGAAGAAAACATTACCAAAGACGTTACGAAAAATGCCAGAAATTTTTTTCAGGTTCCTAAGAGGGCCACTTCCAACTTCTATGATTGATGAGAAAACAACACAAAAGACACTGATGTTGTCTAGAGAAGAGATATTAAAAGTAATGGCATCATAATCTTCATTTTTTTATTTTTTTGTTTGAACCATCTTGCCCTAACTCCGGATTGAGTCTTGTATAAAAGGGCGTTGCTTAGTTTATAGTCTGCCCTATGAACAATAACAATATGCATTTGATTCTAGTCTTAAAGCTTAAAAATGTACTTCTTTGAAACATGGTATCAGTAGCTCTCCATTCTACGATAGTCTGAGAGGTATTAATAAGTAATAAGTAAAATGTCAGGACGGGTTGGTAGACTGGAAAAAAGTCACTTTTGAATTTTAAACATTAAAGCGTTATTAAGTATTTGTGAATTGATTTTGTTTAGTTACGACGTAATTCTAATATAAACTAGATATTAATTGCCTTTTTTGATTGGTTTTGTTTCCTCGCCGTCGGTAGAACTTTTCGATACACCGTTTTCGATCTCCGATTCATTTTCACTCGTTTCACTTTCTAGTTTTTTGTTTGACGCGACCTCGGACTTTTCGCGCGATCCTTCGATTTGTACCGGTTGAGATTCGACATTTTGATTTTTTAGAGCGATTTGACTCCGATCCGCGTGATCTTCAGGCTCGGCGTTTATCGTTACGATAGGATTGGCCCGACAGTGAAGGGTGACGACGCATACCACCGCTGCCAGCAAGTGCCAACGCATGGTGTTCTGAAATAAATAAATACTTGCGTTAGAAGAGTTGCACACTATACCACCGGCACAAGCAGCCGATTATTTTCAATAAAACATTTTTTTTCATTTTTATTTTTAATGATACTTATAAACGTACCTTTTTACAACGAATTAACGAAAATATTTAGGTACGAAGGACGTTCAATAAGTAATGAGATGGCGATTATGGCATCGAAAATATTTTAGCCATTAAGTAGTACTCTAGCATAATTTAATTGTTTTTGTCGAGTGAAAGAAATAACTTTTATTTGACTGTAAAAATGGATAAAAGTAACGTTTTAATCGTTATACAATCCCAACGCGGCATTATGATGTCGAAGATTTTTCGAAATCCTTATTATTTACATCTACAGAGTGTCAATCTATGTACAAATCAAAATCAAATGACAGACCGAACAGCCTGAATACATTATATTCAAATTTTGTACTTGGAGGTTATAAAGAATTTAGATTAAAAATGTAACTGTTGTCATCGACAAAGCAACATCCTGTATCTTGATCATACTTTGCAGATGCAGATTAGAGAAAAAAAAAGGAAATAAGTGGTACCAAAAATTTATATAAAAGGAATGTGAGGACAAAAATAAAGTGGTTTCTAGTGCCATTTATATATGTGCAAAACACTATAAATATTTTTCTCATTGGCCACTGTTGATTTTTGTATGTTTTGGAGCTTGAAGATTTATATTAGACACAATAAATGTGGCTGAGAAAAAATTATTTGGTTTCGTCAATTTCAAGTAAATGTTTAAATGTCACAAGAATATTAAGTTTCCTTTCGCTTAAGATAAGCCTTGTGGGGTTCGTTGCCTTACCCAACGTCATAGTCTTTACACATTCCAAATGCTGCATCATTATAAGAACGCACAATTTTGCTTGTCGACTGCGGTTCATTTACTTCAATGTCTATTATTTATATCTACAGAGTGTACATTTGGGTACAAATCAAATCAATTGACAGACCGACGGGCCTGAATATTTTATATATACATCTTGTACTTGGACGTTGTAAAGAATTTAGACAAAAAATCTCAGTGTTGTCGCCGACAAAGCAACATCCTTAGTGCTGGGGTTGGCCAATTGACCACTCCTTAATTGACTTGTCAAAAAATGTTTAATATAACATCTTGAAATTGTAGAGTGTTACCAATCATTATTTAATAATGATATGTATTTTATAATCAATTACTATGCATTTGTGATGTCCGAATTACCTATAACCTTCTTCAAGGAATATCCATATATGATACTTAGCGATTCGGGGAAGGCGATTTAACGCACAATATAAATAAATATAAATAAATAAATATAAATTTCATGGTATTTTTTAAATTATTTCAGTCAATTAATCAGTCAATTGACCGGTCTATTGACTGGTCAAGTAACAGAAAAAATTTGACCGGTCAATTTCAAAAATTTAATTGAAAAGGCTAATAGGGCAAAAATAAAACTTTTCTAATTTCCTCTACCTATGTGGAAAACACGTAAATATATTTGTTGTTTTTTGCAAGTTTTGGGGCTTGAAGATTTAAATAAAATTTTGTTTTTAATTTTAATTTGATCCATATCCACAACAAAGGTGGCCGGAAAATTAAATGTTATTTGGATTGGTTAATTTCAAATAAATGTGTAAATGTCACAAGAATATCCAGTTTCCTTTCGCTTGAGATACGACTTATGGGGTTCGTTGTCTCACCGAGCGTTGTAGTCTCTCCACAGTCCAAACGCTGCATTATTATAAGCACGCACAATTTTCTTGGTCAACTGCAAATATCTATTATTTAGATCTAGAGTGTAAATCTATGTACAAATCAAATCAGTTGACAGACCGAACGGCCTGAATACATATTTTTTTAATTTTGTACATGGAGGTTGCAAAAAATGTATTAAATATAATAATATAATATATTATAATCAAATATACAAAGCAACACCCTGTATCTTGATCACACTTTGTAGATGGTAATTTTAAATAAAAAATCTTCAAATGTGTTACTTTCAATTTCAGATCTACAAAAAAATCAGTAGACTCTACGGCAGTTTTGGATGCTCTTAAAAAAAAACAGAAGCTATCCTTAAAAATAAAAATGTTATAAGTTTGTACAGGGATCAATGTGGATATGACGTTTCAATGTAATGTCAAAGACTGTAACGCCGGTTGAGGCTATTTATACGAACATTAAGCAACCTTAAATTCTTTATGAGGCTCTATGTCACAGTCTAATGGTTTGCGCTACGTTTTTAATAATATTCTTACATTTGAAAATCGGTTTCAGGCTGATTACTTGATCAGTTATTCGAATTATTGCAAATAAAGATGACCCCTAACTTTCTTGCTTGAAATTTAATATTTAACTAATTTTAATAAAGCATATTTTATTTTTAAGATTTCGCTTTATGTTTTTGTCTTAAGTATCCAATGTATCATTTATATTTTATTGGATATGTCACTCCACAGATAACCAAAGGATACTGTTGCCAATCATCCTGTTGGCTTCTTCAGAGCTTGGCGAAACGTCAGCAAGTTCGACTCAGCAAAAACCGACGTAGCAGGAATCGAGAAGTTTCATAAAAAGTATCAGTGTCAACAAAATAAACGAAAGTAAATAATTGTAGCACGTACCGGGCTATAGCACCAAGGTACAACATCTAAGAAACTAATTCATAGTCGCAGATGTTTAATTGGTTTAACTTGTCGCGTTATTAAATATCAACATTCAGTTTTAACTTTTTTTTGCAAGTTTATTCTACTTTCCGAGTGTGGCTGCCAAACTTCCTCTATATTTTCAGCATTTTCCAACAATAATAAAGTGCTTGGTACAATTAATAAATTCTGGAACAAATATTTTGTACTGCACCAAATCAGAAACATACTTTCCGCTTAATTTGGCAAGTTATACTCGAAAGCATTCGCTCTAGTGAGCGGCGATCCACAACGCTATTAGTGGATGTACCGTATGATTTTATAAGTGTGTACCTAACTGTACTACGAGAACGTTTAACTGTCTAACGATAGCCATTGCCTTTTAAATTGTACATAATTGCCCATGAATGAAATGAAATAGAACGAGTTAATGAGTTTAAGTTGTTAACGTTGACGGGTTTTCTACTCGTCATTATCGTGCCTGCGCGGTCTGTGAATTAGATGCGATACTCCACAACTAAATTTTGTTTAAAAAAATTCCATATGAAATGACTTTGTTGACGCACCACAAGTAATTAAATACTAGGAAACATTTAAAAGCTTTAATGTACATAACGCCCAACGCGTCAGCGTAGCCGAGCATATAAAATTGTTATCTTCATAATTTTTATTATATCTAACAAAATAAGATAAAAGTTAACTGATTTTCGAAATACTTTTTGAGTGTAAGCGTTAGTCATGTGCATTTTGTGCTTCTGTTTAAATCCTCCCAATTAACAAACCAGGGCTAGTAAAGCCAACAATATCATGATTTAGTTATAGTAGCAGCTTTAATATTTGGAAGTCATTTGGACTTAGTTTTGCTAATTTAATAACTTTACTATTGTATTTCCATGTAGAATATTTTAATCTTAGCATCTATAGGACCTAATGGATATCACATTCTTCATCGTTTTTTTGTTCCTTGTTTTTGAAGTTTCAAAAAATATATTTACTTTTGCAGTTTTTGAGTAGAATTATACTTTTTTTCTCATTACATTTTTTTTTTAAGTTATGAAGTATTTTATAAATAAGTTTTCATTATTTGAATGTCAATAGGATTTCCTTTTATAGTACATTTAATTCCTGATGTAAAACATCGGTAGATGTAGATTTGCATCTCCGTGAAATTGGTTTTTGCACAGGTTCTCTAGATCTAGATCGGATATCTCAGTTGTCAGAAGGAGAAAACAGTACCTACCTATACTTGTTTCTATGATCTATTATATATATATATATATATATATATATATATATATATATATATATATATATATATATATATATATATATATATATATATATATATATATATAATAACTCGCTTTATTTAATATTTTATTTATTTGCAATTGCCACAATCAAGCGATGTTTTTAAAATTTTATTTATTTCTAGATCTATATTATCGATCCTGTAAGCTTGCCAACTAAGGAAGAAAATGAACAAAAAATAGAAAGGATAGAACCTCTTAGTACTCCATAATTGTTTTATAACGTCTGGCTACAAAATTTACCAATTTTAATATTTAAAACTGCTTAAGTTGTGCTGGCATTTAAATAAGCTAAATATCATTCACGCTTTTATTATTTTGTTTGTATCTTTAAAAAAAAAATTAAGAGGAAAAAACCGTTTCTGTAATAAAAATCCCTTTCATTTTTTCTTGGACACACTGTATATTTTCTTCGTTCGTCAAATTATTGAATCCGCAAGAAGACACCCAACCGTTAAATTAACCCCGAGCAATCCGCTCTACACATAAACCGGAAAACAGCTTACCGCTCTATGTAGGTCACTCGCACTGCCCAAAAAAAAAAGAAAACAAACCACGCGAACACTGTCCAAGCACTCGACGAAAGAGCTACGCGCGACGACCTAAAGAAAATTGAACCGCACCTGCACGACCTGCGCGAAGAATATAACAAACGTCTCTTCTTCACTTCGGGGAAGGTCTTTATACCGCGGGTGACGTCAACGGCAGGTTTACCACCTCCTGCAGATCGCGAGCGATAACCGACGCTTCTTCGGGCGAATTAAGGTGACAAATGAGATGACGACAATCTTATATGCGCCCGGATTCGGTGAAAACTTTCTTTAAATCGATTAAGCTGGAAATATTTAATGGGCATTCTTGTGCTGCTCGCGTCTGCTGGAAGTGAAATTTTACGCGCAAAGGACGTACTTGAGAATTATAAATAATGTTTTATCTAGTTCATATGCGCCAGTATGGAGTTCAAAGAAATCGAAAAACAGTTTCTAAGGTGATCACCATTTTCAAGACTCTACTAAATATGTCACGTCACATTTCAGAGGTGGAAAATTCTTATATTGAAATTCAATAGTGCATTCCAAATGAGATAAGATTAATAGTTAATAGTTAATAATTTGAAATTTTCAAGACTACCTCATTTATAATATAATAATCCTATATAGATAGCAAGAAACCCCTAGTACACGGTATAGATTCAACAGAAAAGTAAGTGCGCAGAACGAGCAGTATATTCTTCAGATATTGGCTACACTCTAAGAGTCGCTGTTCGAGAAATCGTCCAATCTGTCCAAGAGAATCTTTGACGGTCCATATAACAAATTATAACGTGCTCCTCAAATCGAGGACTACCATGGGCAGTCTCAAAAATAGAGGTTTTTTTTAATTGCAATGCCTGGATGTCGCATTTGATGTCCCCATGTTATTTAAATGTAAGATTCAATTTTTTTTACAAGAAGGTCCACAGACAGATGAATGTATATATATATATATATATATATATATATATATATATATATATATATATATATATATATATATATATATATATATATATATATATATATATATATATATATATATATATATATATATATATTTATTTATATGATGACACTATATTCCGGGATATCATCCGTTCGCTCGTTGAACTCCGACTGGAATCCTGCATCCGACTAGAATCCTGCAGACGTTTCGCCAAAATCTCACTTGGTATCTTCAATGCTCGCGCTCCGAAAACACTTCGAACACAGTTTTCGGAGCGCGAGCATTGAAGATGCCAAGTGAGATTTTGGCGAAACGTCTGCAGGATTCCAGTCGGAGTTCAACGAGCGAACGGATGATATCCCGGAATATAGGGTCATCACATTTTTCCATCCGTGAATCAATACGTGAGAATATATGTATATATATATAAATATATATATATATATATATATATATATATATATATATATATATATATATATATATATATATATATATATATATATATATATATATATATATATATCGGGTCGATTTGTGTAGACTGAGGATAAGACTTAAATTTTTTTTTTTATATTAGTATTTCATTGTTAGTCAGTGTTATTTAAAAAAGTAGGTGTGATTCAACAAAGAAAGAATCATTCTTTTCTTGTGCCTAATTAAAAAATTATATTTTATTTAAAAAAAAAACGAGAACGATAAAAAATCCTGCTTATATATCATTTCTTCTTCAATTAAAAGTTACAAAAAAGTGGAAGCATCCACCATTTAGTTCACAAAGTTAAGCCATTTTCGAGCATAGACTGACTTGACTGCTTGATGTAAAGGACTGTTTCTGCATTCAATTTTTAAACAAATTTAAAATGTAAATTTCCACAATAAAATGGTAATTTTAATGGAAACAAAGGAAAGTAGGCGACAAACCAAACTTCCAACGTGTTAAAAACAATGCGCATTCTTAAGGCAGAGACAATCACAGTTGAAGAATGAGAATTCTATTCATTTCGATTGGGTGACAAATATTTATAACCTACAGCAAGTATCTTTCGAGGTCACCGGAACCGACATTGGACGATTTTTTAATTATACCAAATTGCAGGCGCCCCACTACAAAACGGCGGATATAACGTCATAATACCAGATTTTATAAATAATTTTATGTTAAAAAGATATAGCCTACCTATTTAATATGAACTACCTAGTTTAAGAATTGTATATACGCCAACAAAAAAATTAAATTGTTAAAGCACTATAGGTACTGAACAAGTTTCGAAATTTAATTAAAAAATAAAGTTTTCTCTGAAAACTTCGTGTTAAATGTTTTAATTCATGTAATGTGTAAACACGGTTACAAAACTATCAAAAAAACTTTTTTTTATTTTATTTTGATTTGCCTGGACGACTAAATTCCCTTCACTTGAATAATTTTTTATCGTGTATCCATTTTAGATATTTTTAAAACAATTTAGTATATCTAATCCTACATAAAACTTATTTTCGTTGTACTTCATCTACCTAGGTATGCGACAAAAATTAATTATCGGGTATATGATTTATTAAATATCCCCCTGAACACAAAGGTTTACTAATATTTTGTAACAGAAATTTGTTTTTCCCCGAATTTGAGATATGTAACTTGTTTCGAGTAGGATTAGCGACGTCATGCACCAATGTAGATAAGGTTAACATCCCTCGCTATATTTTGAGCATAAGGATGGTCAATTATATAGTTGATTTTCAAAGTGGTTGAAAAAAGACGACTAAAATGTACACTAGAATTTAAATGTTTAACTTAATAAATAATATCTATCAAATGTCAATCTCACTGTCCCACCAAATCTTGAATGCCACATCAATATCTTACTATTTCGTTGTGTTTACTTTTTGTGGACATAACCTAAGAAATGTAATGCATTATATCATACCATTTTAATATTTGAATAATGTCTTTCGGTTTACACAATAAAATGTACCCGGCAAATCACAAAACCGTGTTTGTGTTAGATCACACTCCCTACTTCGGAATTTCATGCGAGAATGCAATTGAATTTGAGTTTTTAAAAGGGAGAACGCCGGGTTTTATTCCAATGAACCCGATCTCGAAATCACTGTGGACTTCGAGCGTGGAGTCGGCTATGGAATATTGCCGGATCGTGTGGGATTTGTTTCCACAAGGCAAATTAGTAAGTTGTGAATGTAAAGAATTCTTTTTACATATAATCCTTTTCTCTGGCAGGTGAGATTTTTTGCTAGCGATACTGTGGCACACATATTGAACACTTGGAGTTCCAGTCAACAGACTTTGAGTCACGTAGGTTTGATTTTTTGTTATTTCCATGTTATTAGCAGTTAAAACTTACAGATTATGAATGGTATGGCTTTAATTGGAGTACCACCACCTCCTCCGCCCTTGCGCTCAACAACTCCACCTCCCGATTACACAGTTCTCCATGGTTTAAGGGCAGCAATAGAATCACTCTGTGAACCAACTGAATTGCAGGTTGAAAATATAAAAAATGGAGATGGCCAGGTATTAAACAGATGCCGAATTATATGTATCAGTTCAGCTAGAGATAACGAGAGCATGAAACGACTGGAAGAGATATTTTTAAGTGTACTTAATCAACAAAATAAACTTGTATCTGGCAGTGACAGGTATTTTCCACGATATCTAGTTTCTTAATGCGAAAAAGTAATAAAGCATAAATTTGCAATAACGGGGATCATTAAACAGAGTGGACAACTTATAGGTTATATTGTACAAGTTCAGATAAATTGCATTCATAATTTTCTGTATTTCGGTTTTTAAGTCTTACACACCTAGATTAGTTCGCAAATTTGGACCAAGCTAGTTTGCATAAAGTCACATTTGGTAGGATAGGTAGTTTATTAGAATAATAAATAATATAATAATTTTACATGATCATAACATAGAGATGGACAGATAATTGAGATATTAATTATTCTAAGTTCAAATAAATAAAAACTTATCTAGAAATAACAAAAATATGAAAATAGATAAATTGTGATAAATTTCTAGAGAAATACACTGTTTTGTAGCATTTTATCAGCTTCTCCCATATTTTCTTCCATTTCAACCATATGTCTGATGCACTTCTCCATTTTTCAAAAATCTACTGTTTTTGTTCCTTCTTTTAAGAGGGTTTCAAATTCCCTCATTTTACTTGCGTCCCTAACCAATTGTAGAAGTTTATTCAAATTTACAATCTTCGATCTCTCATTTTTGAGTATTTTGAAATTAATGTCATTTTTTTTCCAAGATGATGTGGGTGACTCTAAAGCCACATCTACACTCTTTCACTTGAAAGAGTTTCAGTCAAGCTCTGAAGAAGTCAACAGGATAATTGGCGAAACGTCAGCAATTTCGACTAAGCAAAGCAGGAGGAATCCAGAAGTTTTGTAAAAAGCATTACAGTGGAAGTTTCTTTGAAAAATCATTCAAAAATTGTTTTCGATTTAGTCCAAGACCATAAAGATACAACCTTATATTCAAAGGAGTATATTATTTAAGGCCCTCTGCCACGATATTTGTTTCCACATAGAAAAAAAGAAAGTTACTTTTTAAAAAGCTAGAATGTTCTCATACAAAATTCACAAGCCAACTCATAAACATTTATAAACAGAACAATAAAATCTAGCATTTTTTGGAAGTAGTCTTTAAAAACAGCAGCATTTGTGTATTCATAATGGTCTCCAGTCTGTTTTGATTGAAACGCCAACAAGCAACCCCTGAAAACTCCATTTTTGATACCATTCTAAGAAATTATTAATCTTTTATCTTTTCCTAAGGGTGCTTTTATCCCAGTGGACCATCCTTCCATGCCTCGCGTTTTTTAAATTTTTATTCTGACATGTTTTATCAACAGTATATCATTTTTTGTTCAATTTTATTTATTGTTTATACGGAAATACAAGCACAGTTTTACTAATCGCTTTCTCGGCAACAAATTCAGAAAGAAATTATATTTCTAATTTTAAACACAGGTAAGGTAGGTAAGAAGTAAGTAGCTGACTTATCCACTTTTAGGACCCTTGACAATCAGCATAGGTTCCACACTACTTCTAAGCTGCAGCTACAGCTCAATAACGATTTATAACTCTCTCGCATTAAGAAACGAGTATAAACCTGTTTATTACAGTAAGACAAGGATTTGTTTCAGCTTACTGACAATCGACCATTGCCATTTAGTTATAATTAACACGTTTCCTGTTAATATAGAACCTCAGGTGAATAATCATCCACCTAAAAATGTAAATTACACATTCTTTTGTGTTGAAAATGTATATTTTTATAAAGCTTTTTAGCTTTCTGCAGTATTAACCACAGAAGTGCATTCAATAAAAGCCCCACAAATTCCTAACAAGCTGTCATCATTAATTTTGGAACACTATGATTTAGCCAGCACAACAGTAACAGGGATTCCTATGAAAGAGGAACAGAATGCCAGCTCTTCAGCAAACTACGATGTTGAAATATTTCACGCTAGTTCAGCTCATACCGCCATTTTGAAGGGTAACGCATCTGATTCTGCTGCCATAAGGACAATCAAAGAGGGACTTGAATATGAAACGGTAAAATTATTTTGGTATATCAAGTTTCCTAGTTTTGCAAAAAATAAAAACAATGACTTTGCACACTATAAACCGTTTTAGGTGACTCTAAAATGGTGTACACCAAGAGGTATGAGTGGCTCTGAATTACAAAATTGTACAGCAATGTTTCGCATAACACCAGTAGATGTTAATTCTAGGCCATCTCTATGTCTTATAAACTTTCTTTTAAATGGCAGATCTGTTATGCTTGAAATGCCCAGAAAAGCTGGTGGAAAAATCACCAGTCACTTATTAGCTGCTCATGGGGGTGAAATTTTCATTCACACCCTTTGTACTGCCAGATCAGTGTTGGAGGATCCTCCCTCCATTTCAGAGGGCTGTGGAGGTAGGGTAACTGATTATAGGATACCAGATTTTGGGCTCCTTATAAAACAGAACACTTTGTTGCCAATTAAGACTAAAGGATCTGATGGTATTAGGCCCATTGAAAAAGTAAAGACCAGGTTAAGTCGGCTCACTAGATATTGGCCCCTTACTATAAGTTCCACTCTAATATTCAATTTGAAGCAGGTGCGTCCATTGTTAAATATAGTGAACATCATTTAGAGCTTGAATTTTAGTACATTGATCCTTTACCTGTAATCATCACAAAAGACAAAATAGCAGATGAAGAAGTGTTCATATGCAAGAAAGTAATTTATAACTTAATTGCCTTAGAAGCCAAAATGGAGCCTCTACATCCCCAAAACTCCGGTCAGAGGCTCAAAGGTCAGAAGCGAGATGAGCAATACAAGGTAGGTAAGATTTTTAAAGACTGTTTTACACTAATCATCAAATTTTAGGTTATGTGGAATGAGTTGGAAACTTTATTAAAAAACAATTTACATTCGGATAATCATAAAGCTATTTACAGCTGTTTGCTGGATTGCCACAAATTCAGTTCGGAAGACGATAAAAGTACAGAAAAAGTTGAACTAGACGATGCCTTAAATCAACTCGACAACATAGGTAGGACCTCTCTAAATTCGTGCCACACAAATTTTTGATTTTTTATTTTAGGACCAGGTAAAGATCAAGACATACCACGCGCATCAGTCATAAGGGCAACCACCGATTCACCAATGTCGCCGCCCCCTCTCGCAACCATAACCCCACCATTTTCAAGGTCAACAAGTCGAAGTAGTTCCATATATAACACACAACGTACTTTGCTGGAAATATTTACTTCGCAGGACAAATCAAAGGGTCGACCAGAATTTGCAGGCCGACAAGGTGATAGTTTAGTTGCCAAATTGTATCCTAACCTTAAAACTGAAGATAGAGGTCCTAGATCAGATGCAGGAGAAGTTGAATAAAGTTAAACGATATTTATGTATCAATTAAAGTTTTTTACTGATTTTTTTTGTATTGAATATGCGTACATCTCTCTGGTCGAACTATTAATTAAACCCCAACCAATTAATGGGAAAACGATAAGTGTCGGTGTGAAAAATATTGTAATATTTGATATATTTCTTGGTTAGTGGTAATATTGTGGCCTTACCATGGACAAAATGATTTTCCGCTCATGCCTATACATTTGTCCCACTAACCTGCATTTTGTGCCATTTTGTTTCTAAACGGCGATTTCCACTCGATTAGCTCCAAACTTATTGACATGTCAACGGCCATGATGGTTGTTGAATGCCACCAGTTTATTGCGTGAACCTTCTCAAAAAAAATTTCATAGCTGCTTCATAAGTATTTTCTGCATAGGCAGTGCCTCTAGTAGCTATATGATTATACCAAATTAAAAAAGAAATATATATACTGCAATTTCACTTAAAATCATTTCCATAATAGCTCCGATTTTCCTAAATTTATTTAATGACTATTGCTTTTCTTATTAAAAATAAAAATATTTTTTATTGTCGTAGTAAAAATCTTAAATCAATAAACAAAAAAAGTGTTCCTCTTTGTCGACAAGTAAAAATATAACCGAATTTTTCTATCAAGTATTTAAACTAAGTTGTAGGCTAAAACTGATACTAGAAAAGTTTGTCTCTAATTCCTACTTTTGATTAAATGGGGTTTTTCGATGGTCATTCCATTTCTCCGTTGGCAACTCTTTGAATATGTTATGAATTCAAATGATGAGTAGAGGGATAAAAAAAACGAACCACATGTTGGCGTGATTATTTATATTTATGAAAATATCCTACAAAACCTCGGAACTCATCTACAACTGGTATTTTTTACAGTTACATTGTGTAGGTGGGCCGGGCCGGTCCTGGTCTCGAAAAGCACGAAGTGAGGCTAACAGCGAATAATCAAAATATATGTAAGGCCCGGACTGGCCCACGGCCCGACGTACCAGAAAATAACACCTCACTATATTTTATAATATATCATATATGATTCAAATTAACAACTATTCTCTTTTTTGTTTTTCTTTTAGCGTTTCTTAGATCTTGTTATGTAAAAGTGTATGTATACGTCTACAATATTTATTCGTAAAAGGCATTCAGTTATTTGTTGTGTCTATTATTTTACAGGTATATAAATATTTGTATATTAAAAAAACGAAAACCGAGTTTTACTAAAATGAGAGACGGCGGTTCCTAAAAAAATGATCCTACTCTATTCCTGGGAAAAAAGGAGCGTTTTGATTTTTTTTTGCGTCTACAAACACAAAGACTGGAACTAGTATGACCGAACTCTGCAAAAATGTTCATCTTCCCTTGCACAATGTTAATACCTATTTTTAATCAATGTTGAACAAAGGTAAACAGTTTCAAAGTTCCATTAAGCTCTCAACATTTTTGAAACCATTAACTAGACAATTTTTTTTCAACCCATACTCGGAAATAAAGAAGACTAGCTTAATTTTTCAAAGAAACTCATAGAATTTATTGTAATATTTACAAATATTCTGGATTCCTCCTGCTCCCGTTGTTGGAAGGAATCCACAAGATTTCTTAGTAACACTTGATTAATTTCTCGTATAACTCCCAATGGATGGTTTGGTCCCATATCCTATCCCAACTTCATATACTATTGTTTACATAAATTGTGATTGTAAAGGTAGCTTTTACTTGTTATATCAGTTTTACTAGTTCAAGCTTAAAATCCATGATTTGACCAAATAACACTAATCAGAACAGCCAGAACCTTTAAAAATACGTTTCGCTAGATTTTTTTTTTTTTTTTTGAAATCACCGCCTCTCAAACATCGATCTGACGAAAATCGTTCGCTTTTATTTTACCTTTGTACTGCTGCGCCAACAACACAAAACCTCGAACCGACACATTTGAAATATGTTTTAAATATGAAACTTAAACGACATGCCTACACATTATCAAAAACTAAATGAAAAATGTTACGTAACTATATACAAGATTAACGAAAAACACTTCAAATGCGGGTGTCGGCTGGTATTTTTGGGTTTTCTATTTCGCACGTGCATGGCGATCGGCGAAACCGATGAGTGGAATGTACTCGTTTAAAATAAAAACAAGAATGCCGCGAAGTTTAGGAAAAAAAACAAGGATACGTTACAAACAAATAAATTACTTACTCGCTACGCACTACAAAAAATGGTAATGATAATATAAAAGTTAACTGAATTTAAGGGCGACGGATCAGCGCGAACCCTACTTTACGGTAGGTATAAAAAAATGACTACACAAATCATAAGTTAATCGAAACGAAAAACGTTGCGGCTCAATCTTTTTTCACTGTCGTCGTCTGGTAATGTCATCCCGACAATTTGGGTATATGCGATCCTAGGAATCTAAAGGTCTGTACACACAACGCGGCAACTTGGTAACGTTGTTCGATAAATGGGCCGTTTTAACATAAGTACATGAACATTAACGGCCACGAAAGGGGTCACTTCCTTGACACTTGGTGGCAAAAGATCGCAGCAAGTGCTGCGGATAGTAACCCCTTTCTTGTCCCGCTGGTTTTGGCTAGTTTGAACAGCGCAAAAAAGTCGTAACGAGGCAAAAGTTGCGTCGCCAGTACTGAATTAAACACGCTCAAGGAACGCCATTTATCGAGACACAAAACCGGTAGACCGCATGAACTACTTTCAAGGTTCGATTGATTCCGAGAAAAAACGCGTTCCAGAGTGTATGCTAAACCCGAGACCGCGCGCTAACCACGCAGAGAGAGTGTCTTCTTTACACAGTACTAATTGACAATTTCCATTTCGAAAATAAAACCAAAAAAGGCCGAAATAAAGTATTTAAAAAAAAAGTAAAGTATCTCTCTGGAGCTGGTGTCATCGGATATCCGCTTTAACAACACGCTAACGTGTACCTTTCCGATCAAAAGAGGATATTAAAAGTCCAAATCGAGAGCGAACAACATCATACATTATAATAATATACCTAAGTTAACCGGCTAAAGGGGTCTAACGGTGAGGCACGAGCCCTCGTACGCCGTCCGAAACCTCAGCTCTGTCACTTGACATCTTCGCGCGCTTTTTTCGCGGGCGTCGGACCCTGAGCTATTAATTTATCGTCGTCTAGTCGCCTCTTGACGAAACTGATACTGTTCGAGTCTTCGTCCTGTAACCAAAGCGTTTTTCAGGCCACGTTCATCCTATCATACTCAAGGCGCAAACTGGAACGTGATCGTAGCAGATGAGTCGAGTAGTATCACATTATCAGGCATAGACGGAATTCATACTAATTAATAGAAGCAGCATATTTAAAACCAAATCTTCATACCTATGTTATGTTAAGCAGGTTTTGCAGTTTGCACTTTAAAAGAGGAGCATCTAGTCATTACAAAAAAATATATTTGAGTAGCGATGACACGCCACAATTCAGAGGTAATTTATGTAATAAATACAAACATTTTAGATTTCAACTAAACTTAAGTTGCATAAATAGCTATACATATGTTAATTATTTTTTAAAGTCGTATTTCAGGTCTAACCTGCAGGTTTATATAAGTAATTAATATTAACCATTTTATTTTTAACAATATTTCAAAAATATGTTGTTTTGTTTCTATTTATATTAAAAATAAAAAAAATTATCTAAATAATTAGGTTCTATCGTATTTGTGACCAGAATTTTAGGATTCCATATATTTTCTTTGCTATACTATGCTCGCGATGCAGCGCTTGGCACTTCTTGGCACCAAAATTTGTAATAAGCAGGAAGGTAAAAACATATTTGTTTCACAAATATCTAAATAATAAAGTTGCAGCTTTTAATGTAATTTCAAAAAATTAATGCATTTACTTTTAACCACTTTTTCCTTATTGGCATTTAAAAAAAATAACTTTATGTCAAATTTGCCTTTACTTTGCTCTCTAAGATAATCTAAATTTAAAAGCCTACAATTAGAAAAGAACAATACACTTTACAAACAACACAATATAATATCAAAATCTACACGCGAAATTGTCAATAATAGTTTGCTAATTTTTCAAAGAAACTTCCACAGGCTACTGTAATACTTTTTACAAAACTTCTGGATTCCTTCTGCGTCGGTTTTTGCTGAGTGGAAATTCAGAAATCACAAAATCAGACCTAACATTGAGTCATTGTGTTTACAGAAAACCTACGCACACAGACCGATACCTTAATGCATGGTCACATCACCATCCGGCCCAAAAATCATCGGTTATCAACCCTCTTGTTCACAGAGCCGTAAAAGTCACTAAAAACAGAATGAAAACACCTTACCTCTGCTCTTCTCTCTAATAATTTCTGCATTAAAGATATTAAGCATTGCATCAAAAAATACACTTCACCTCAACCTGCCAATAGCAATGAGGTCGAAAGCAATCCTACACTTGCCACTGTGGTCCTTCTTTACGTTCAAAACATCACTGACCACGTGTCAAAAGTTCTAAAGAAGTATAACGTCAAAATCAGATTTACCACTTGTTCAAAAATCTCTCAACATCTGCGGCTCGTCAAAGACAAAATTCAATTTGAGATGCCAGGAGTTTACAGCATTCCATGCATATGCGGCAAAGAATACATTGCAGAGACCGGACGAAAAATATCATCTAGGCTCAAAGAACACGAAAGAGCCTTACGACTAAGACAAATAAACTCATCAGCTGTTGCCGAACACACTCATGAAACCGGGCATAAAATTTTATTCGATAAAACTAAAATTCTTGCATGTAATCAGTTCTTTTACCAACGAAAAATCCGAGAGTCTATAGAAATCTATAAACAACCTAACAATCTTAACTGCGACTCATGTCTCTACCTGTCACCAATTTGGGAATCAGTCATCCGAGACTGTGTTTATACCCCTCATTAGCGCCCCCTCAAGCAATATATAAGCAGGTACAGAGTAAAATACGAGCCAGTTGCAGTCAAGCTCTGAAGAAGCCAACAGGATGATTGGCGAAACGTCAGCAATTTCGATTCAGCAAAAACCAACGCAGGAGGAATCCAAAAGTTTTGTAAAAAGTAATAGTTTGCTAATATTTCAATTGCTTTCACTCGTATTAGTAAAAAAAGCACCCTCAAAAATATTACTCCTTGGGGCGTTTTCTAACCTTACAAAGTAAAATAATATATTATCAAAGAGTTTCTTTTAACTTATTATCCCAAAGAAAAAAAAATTAAATGACTTCTGTGCGACATCGCAAAAGGTTAGTTGTCGAACCATTATTTTTGAAAAAGAGTTTTGATACCATGTTTTTTTATATATTTATAATTATTTCCTGATTTACAGGATACAAAATGATTTTATCAATAAAATTAACACAACAAAACTAAAGCCGTGAATTCAGTGATAACTTTTACCAACAAAAAGAAATTTTAAAGTAAAAAAAAATCAAAAACATTTTCAAAAAAAATGGCGACTTAAAAAAATTGTTGAACAAAACATTGCGTTACCTGCATAGAATCTTTAGTAGATTCAGAAGCGGCGGATGCTGAAACTGAGTCTTCATCGCCAACGCCCTCTGACGGCGGTGGACTTCCCGTATCCGTGTCCGCGAACGAAGCGGTCGTATCGCGCGTATCTTCGTCCAAAGCGGCTGCTGGCACCGTGGCAGTCGGAGCAACTGTAGCTTTGCCGTTGAGTGGAGGTAACACGCCTCCTCCTCCTGAGCTTTCGTCCGACGTGGCTGTCGGGTCAGCGTCCAAAGAGTCACCGTTTTGGTGCAGTACCGCGATGGCTGGAGCCATGGAGTTGCCATTTTCTACAGGAATACCTGTCGTAAAGGACACAATGTTAACAATAAATACCCCTTTCATCATCAGTCATCGTCTGAATCAAACTCATCTTCCGATTTTATCAGATCTGCATGTCGAAAGCAGTTTGAAATAGTGGTTGAAGTAACATTCCGATATTGTGCAAGTAATTTTATGGAGTCAAATTACTGGATCAAACGGCACAAAAAATGTCTGCGGTAATATGTCTTAAGGCATTTTGGAGGCAAAAACTCTAATCTGATATTTGAAAGGATTAGATTTTTTGAATGAGCTGCACAATTGTCAACCAGAAGTAATATTTTTCTATTTTAACGTTTTAGTTTTTCATCCCAATCCTTTGTAACTCAACTTTGACTGCTTCCCACCCAAACACTTTCCTCCTCTAAATTTAAGGGTACGATATGGGGTCATCTTGTAGAATAGCCATTTACCAATAACAAGAAGTTTGCATTTTTCGGTTCTTGCCATATTTGCACAAATCCAAACGGTGTACCTCAACTTTGACTGCTTCCCACCCAAACACTTTAGCGTACGATCTGGAGTCATATTGTAAAATAGCCCAGTCTCGTCACCATTGAAAATATCCTCAGAGTTGTAATTTTGTGCAATCCTGGGCCACTTATCCTCTAACCAGTTCAGAACAGCTTGTTTGTTAACATCTTCTGCTCCACCAGAAATTTTTCAGATGTTTATGTTGTGACGAACTTTAAAACGTTCTAGTCAACCTATACAACACTAAAATCCTCACCCTATAATTCCCTGGCTAATTCTTCGGCTTTCGATTTCAGAACTGGACCACTTATTGCAATATTTTCAGATCTTCGAACTTGAACCCATTGTAAAAGAGATCTACACCTGAATGTACAAGATTTTTATTTTTTTTTAATCCTGTGCGATTTACAGTCACTTGCTTTCATGATGTTTTCGCGATTGCTACGAATTGTCGATATTTTTGTTTTTGTATTGAACATTATCAACAAATAAATCGAGAATTAAGATAATATACAAGGATAAGATTAAAAGTAATAATATTTTACACTCAGAAAACATACACAAACCTTCACTATCAGTTATATCAACAAATTGTAAATGCAAGAGTTGTACGGATCATGCTGAACTGCTAAAAACCACTGTCAAATGAAACGAATGTGGTTTATGGTGATCACTATGAACCATTATAATTTATAAATATTTGATTATCATTTGACATTTAAAATTAACTTCAATATCTAACTACAAATTTGCCCGACGATCCTCCATTATCCATATTCGACATTTCGCATTTTTCGTCTATTTTCCGATGTTTACTTGCTTCTTTTCACAGGAGATCCCTATAACTTATGATGGCCCCTTTACAATACGCAACTCAACAGTGAGGCCTATGGTACACCCACCACAGCTTTACATAAAGTGCTACTATTTACCTTCGAGCAGTTCAGGTTTGAGTTCCGACACTACATAGTGCGTCCAGATGGCGAGTTCGACTTTGTGTGGTGACCATCGGGTTGCGTCCGGCCGTCCTATACGCTCCGGATCTGCATTGAGCCGTTCGGCGACGCTACTAATGTGCTGTGCGAATTTCAGGTACTCTTTAGCTGTATAGTCGATACCTTCAATGTCGGGGATGGCCATCAAACATTCGTCTGCCATAAAAGGGGCAGAATCAGGACACGCGGCGGCCAATAATGCTAGAAATAACAAATGGAGGCAGCTGTCAGTAAATTGGTAGCTCTCTCTCTATATATAATTTTATATAACAAAAATAACTACATTATTTTACGTTTTATAAAAAAAGTCTAATATAAAACTGGTAGAGTTTAATGTGTAAATTTAATATTACGTACTCATTTATATACAAGGTGTGCCAAAAAAGCATAGCACATCAAAGCTATATGTTTTAAAAAAGAAAGGTCCTGTTACGCTGATTTGGAAAATATATAACGGCTTTTTTTTTAAATTAATTTTTATAATTTATAAAACTTCTGGATTCCCCCTGCGTCGGTTTTTGTTGAGTTGAACTAGCAATTTCAGTCAAGCGCTGAAGAAGCCAACAGGATGATTGGCGAAACGAAACGAACGAACGAACGAAACGAAAAACCGGCGCAGGAGAAATCCAGAAGTTTTACAAAAAGTAGCCTGTGGAAGTTTCTTTGAAAAATGAGAAGTTGTGGCATATGTTGTATATAAATAAGTATATAAATTTAAATCTACGCATTAAACTGTACCAAATGTAAAATAAAAAAGTTAGAGGAGTGTTAAATTTTTAATGGATCACAATTTACATATTGGGTTTGACTGTCAGTAATGTCGTCGACCACAATAGTCATCGAGTTGGTTAATAGTAATAAATTTTGCCCTGGTAAGAAGTTCGTGATACGATGAACAATTCTAATATCCTATAAACATGAATATCCGAATGAGCTTCGGTTTTCGAAATATGTTAGTTAGTAAGTATTTTCAATAAAGACATATTGGCAGAAATTAATAATTTTTCCACTAAATTTAAGGCAATTTCTTTGTAGGTCCTATCATTTCTCAGATCGAACACTGGGTCACTCTGTACATTACGTTACATTATTAACGTAAGTCCAACGATCGAGACAAAAATATTAGAGCTAATACAAAAGTTAAGTTAAAAGTCGCTTCAATTAATTGAATTAATTGAAATTAAAAATGTTAATATTTCCAACATGAATAAATTTTATTAACAACTAAAATACTTTTACATTAAATTTTATACCGGTTTTAATTATAAATTATAAAATAAACTTGTCGGTGCGGGTGCGGGCAAATTTCAGAACATCGCAGACACATGTACGTAAACTGTCTGTTACGCTCAACAGTCTCATCAAGCGGAAAAATAAATATCTAATGTGCGAACCGTGGCAGAGCTCCCACAAAAAAAATCGAACTTCTTTTTGCACTGTGCAATTCCAAACTCATTCAACCCGAAACAATCGATACATGAATGAATTATTAAGTAAACCGATTATGTTTGAGATGTGGCGTTGGTTCTGCCTGTTCCTATTTCGTGCAACTCAACAGGTGAGCGGAACCGATTCTTGTCGATGAAATTGAAATGTTTTGTATGCAGTGTGTTACAACAAGCATAACTGATATCGATAAAATCGACCGTTTTCAGAGAAAGAATAAAAACTGTTGTGACTGGTCCATTGACCGGCAATTAACCACTTCTTAATTGAAGGACAGTTGACCACTTCTTAATTAACTAGTCAAATTTGCTCAAAACGTGATAATTATTTAATAATAATATGTATTTTATATTAACTTATTATTATGCGTTTGTGATGTCCAATTTCCCTATAAACCCTCTTCAAGGAATACCCGAAAACGATACTTAGGAATTCGGGGAATCCCAATAAAAATATCCACTCTATTTAGTTTTTAGAACCAGGCGACAATATAAATAAATATAAATATATTAATATAAAATTCAATGCAATTTTAAAATTATTTCGGTCAATTGACTGGTCAAATGAAACAAAAAAAAAATAACCGGTCAATTCCACAACCCCCATGATGCCACTGATTTTTTTTCTATAATAAACTAGGCACATAATATTTTACATTCCTTTAATAATATTCTTATTTAGCTTTAATTCACCTTTTTATAAAATATAAATATTTGCTTTATTCTTCCTTTTCTACATAACGATAATGTTATCCATTTAATTTACCATGGTTACTGTGATACTATTTACAAATCTCCTGGATTTCTCCTAAATCGGCTGTTGATAAATCGAACTTGCTGACGTTTCGCCAATCATCCTGTTGACTTCTTCGATTCATCAACAATTCACGCAGGATGAATCCAGAAGATTTAAAACATTTTTAATCAAGTTTCGTACAAATGGTGTTTTATTTCTATTTAAATTAAAAATTAAATAAAATTTTCGCGTATCTACACACTAACTAAAAAATAATAATTGTACAGTTATTAATCTGAATTTTGGGAATGTTATAAAAATGAATGCAATTTTTAAAAAATGGCAAAAAATTGATTGATAGATTAATTTTCTCTCATATTTTGAATAACTTTATGTGAAATATTAAAGCCTCTACCTTGCTCTCTAAGACCGCACACAAACAACATAACAGAAAATCAAAAAACTAAACGCCAAATCTTCAATAATTGGTCACTAATATTTCGAGTGTTTTCAGGGGCAACTCGTCTCAGCAAAAAAAACACGTTCAAAAACTCATGCACGGATCCTATGTTACAATTTCTAAATAATCTTCTACATGATAGAAATGAAAAGTTTTTCAACACAACTTTAAAAAGCTTTAAAAATTTGCACGTTAAGTTATTTAGCAAGTTAATAAAAAGTATGGGCCCTACGTTCAGAAGAAAACAGAAAGCCATTTTCGATTAGGTCTAGTATTTAAACTATGTATATAACAATATTTCATAACAGATTTCATAAAGAGGGTACAGTTAAAATATGAGTTTTTGCTTTTCCAGTCAGAGAACGTATACACCTTTTTTGAGAAATAAAAACATATGTAGCAACAAGGTTTGACGAGCTCCAAAAACAGATACTACTAGTATTGTTACATGATGATTGAAACAGATTTCGACCAATTGACCCATCAACAAAACCATATTTTTTATAATGAAATGTTGTATATAGGATGTTTAAAAAAGAAGCAGCAGTATTTAGGGGCCTGATTCCTCAAATTATTTTATTAAAAAAGTTCCCACAAATGTAGACCCGGCAATGCATTATTTCCAAGTCCCAAATTTTTTTGTAAATTAAATCAAATATGTTCTCGCGGATTTGTTTGAAATTTGGCAGCGGTATTTCTGGAGATAAGGAGCTGATTTGGCCCTTAAAAATTAAATAGTGGCGTTACTTATTCGCTTCTTGAAATTTTCTCATATCTTCATTCGTTTACGAGATAAAAAATAAAAACTATTTTATTGCATGTCTATTTATCTATCATAAAAATATTTTATCTATATAAACAATTTACAAAAACTGTTTGTATTTCTTATTGCGTAAACTAAGCAAAATATGAGAAAAACCCAAGAGACGATAAAGTAGTAGTTTTAGTCGCTCTATCTCAGGAAAGTATGGAAATTATTTTAAAGTCAGCACGTACATTTTTCATAATAAATTTCATAAAGTTGCCCCCCTCCCCCCCTAACCCAAATGCTTAATTTTTATTTAGTTGAGGTCAAATCAGCCACTTATCACTATATATGAAAAAAAACTGTAACACCGTGTGTAACTTGGAAACAATGTATTTCCGGACCTACATTTATCGAAACTTTTTTTTTTTAGAACACTCTTTTATTGTCAACGCAAAAAAGTTTGCTTCTATTTGTGTAATAGGAGCATTCTGGTTTTTTTATTAATAAAAAAAAGATTAATGTTGTTTATTTCATCATTTGTTCACATAACTTCACTCACTAGCCGACAAGTACCAGCAACTCCGAAAAATGGCAACCTTCACGAACTAAAAAAAAGTGGGAAACGCGGTTAAGTGTACCAACCGACTCGGCTTGCTTGGGCAAGCGATTTAAAAGTGTCTATTTGCGTAACGAGTCGCCTCGTGCCCGCTGTTACGTTGTGTTACCTTGCCGTTATATTATAAATGCGAACAGGCAATTTGCGGCCTACTGCGTCTGCAATGTTTACGATCGCTATTGGTACAGCGACCACGATCGAATAGCAATTTTAATGTTATGTTTTGTACCTCTAAGAATTCACTTATGACTGTAGAAAAATATAAACTGCGCAGGATGTTTTAATTGCATGTCGGCGTCGAAGGTTCGAAAAACCAAAGTGAAAAACTGCCCACTGGCTACGCTGAGATATGTCTCAACAAAATATTCTTTGCAAAGCCTTTACTGACGATTTCACTTATTGTACATATCCTTCTATCTCTTTTTATTTATTATAAATAAAGTACTTTTAATATGATTTGCAGCGAGAGCAAAAAATTTTGCTGGGCTAAGAGAAAAAAACATTTTGATGCCTTAGATAACAAATTGGCTAATTGCTAATTTTGAGGTTATGTGTATTATAACATATCAGCTTTGTTTATGTTAATTTCTTTCGTATAAATTCTACATTGCCTACTATGAATATAAACAATAACTGTTTATTTCTAAATTATATCTTATTTTTCGCATAGTCCAGAAAATCCAAGACTACCACAGTATAGAACTTTAACAATACATACAGGAAAGAAATCAACTCTCCCGTCTAAAATATTTTTTTTAAAACGATTTTTTTGGAATGTTATACATATGTTATGCTTTGTTGAAATTTGGAATGTTATTTAGAAGTGGTAAACGGCCAATTTTGCTTTATATTGTTTAAAATTGTGACGTTTGAGGGCGTATCTTAACGAATATTACGACACTGACTTTTGTTTGTGTTGAAAAAATAAAAATCATGAATAATGATGTTATCGCGTTAAAATTATTTGTTAGGCGACCATGTTAATAATTGAAAAATAACCTGTTTGTAGTCTGGCGCGAACACACAGCATAGCGAAAAAATATACTAAATCTAAAAATTCTGATCATCATATTCTAGTTTATGTAATTTAAATAGAAATAAAATAACTTATTACCAAACGTGATTAAAAATACAATTGAAAACATTAAGACTTAAGAACAAATTTAAAAGATATATATATATATATATATATATATATATATATATATATATATATATATATATATATATATATATATAT